CAATTTTACTCAATGGGAACTTTAACTATAAGGCTATATCTGACGCTATTGCTTTGCACACCCCGGTGGTAGCAATCCCTGCAAATATAACGTGCAAAAATAGTTAATTGTACTTCTTCAAGTAAAAAACCTCACTGTCATCGCATTAGCTCACCTGTTTTAAACTGCACAGCTTTTGAAGAGACTTCCTTTCATTTTGGACATGTTTGGCTACTGCAAAGATGGTTTTTTACATGTGGTCAAGAAACTTTTAATTATATTCCTGATGATATTATTACCCCTTTATGGATTACTGCCTTGTCGTGGCGAAGGGGCTTGCGTAACTCAATGAAGCTATAAGCTATGCCGTGCAGGGCCACCCAAGACGGACAGGTTATAGCAGAGAGTTCTGACAAAATGTGATCCACTGGAGAAGGAAATGGCAAACCACTCCAGTATCTTTGCCATGAAAACCCCATGGACAGTACTAAAAGGTAAAAAGATATGACGCTGGAAGCTGAGCCCCTCAGGTCGGAAGGTGTCCAATATGCTACTGGGGAAGAGCAGAGGGCTAGTACTAGTAGCGCCAGAAAGAATGAAGCGACTGGGCCAAAGCCAAAAGGACGCTCAGCTGTGGATATATCTAGTGGTGAAAGGAAAGTCCGATGCTGTAAAGATTTTTTCTCCATAGGAACCTGGAATGTAAGATCCATGAATCAAGGCAAGCTAGACGTAGTCAAAAAAGAGATGACAAGACTGAACATCGACATCTTAGGAATCAGCGAACTAAAATGGACAGGAATGGGTGAATTTAACGCAGATGACCATCAGGTATACTACTGTGGGCAAGAATCCCTCAGAAGAAATGGAGTAGCCTTCATAGTCAATAAAAGAATAGGAAAAGCAATACTGGGATACAATCCCCAAAATGACAGAATGATCTCAATTCGAATCCAAGGCAAACCATTCAATATCACAGTAGTCCAAATCTATGCCCCAACCACTGGTGCTGAAGAGGATGAAATTGACCGGTTCTATGAAGCACTACAGCACCTTATAGAATTAACACCAAAAAATGATGTCCTTATCATCATGGGGGATTGGAATGCTAAGGTAGGAAGCCAAAAGATAACCGGAATAACAGGCAAGTTTGGCCTTGGAGTACAAAATGAAGCAGGGCACAGGCTAATAGAATTGTGTCAAGAGAATACGATGGTCATAACAAACACTCTTTTCCAACAACCCAAGAGACGGCTCTACACATGGACATCACCAGACGGTCAACATAGAAATCAGATTGACTATGTGCTCTTCAGCCAAAGATGGAGAAGTTCTATACAGTCAGTAAAAACAAGACCAGGAGCTGACTGTGGCTCAGATCATGAGCTTCTCGTTGCAAAATTTAGGCTTAAATTGAAAAAAGTAGGGAAAAGTACTAGGCCACTCAGGTATGAACTAAATCATATCCCTGATGAATATACAGTAGAGGTGACAAATAGATTTAAGGAATTAGATCTGATAGACAGAATGCCTGAAGAACTATGGATGGAAGTTCGCAACATTGTACAAGAAGTAGCATCCCAAAGAAAACATTGTACAAGAAGTAGCATCCCAAAGAAAAAGAAATGCAAGAAAGCAAAATGGCTGTCTGAGGAAGCTTTGCAAATAGCTGAGGAAAGAAGGGAAGCGAAAGGCAAAGGAGAAAGAGAAAGATACACCCAATTGAATGCAGAATTCCAGAGAGTAGCTAGAAGAGATAAGAATGCCTTCTTAAATGAACAGTGCAAAGAAATAGAAGAAAACAACAAAATAGGGAGGACCAGAGATCTCTTCAAGAAAATTGGAGATATGAAAGGAACGTTTCATGCAAAGATGAGCATGATAAAGGACCAAAATGGCAGAGACCTAACAGAGGCAGAAGAGATTAAGAAGAGATGGCAAAACTACACAGAAGAACTATATAAGAATGAGCTTAACATCCCAGATAACCACAATGAGATGGTCATTGACCTCGAACCAGACATCCTAGAATGTGAAGTGAAATGGGCCTTAGAAAATCTGAGCAACAACAAAGCTAGTGGAGGTGACAGTATTCCAGCTGAGCTATTCAAAATCTTAAAAGACGATGCAGTAAAAGTGCTACACTCAATTTGCCAGCAAATTTGGAAAACTCAACAGTGGCCACAGGATTGGAAAAGGTCAGTTTACATTCCAATTCCAAAGAAAGGCAATGCCAAAGAATGTTCAAACTATCGCACCATTGCACTCATTTCACATGCTAGTAAAGTTATGCTTAAAATCCTACAAGCTAGACTCCAGCAGTATGTGGATCGAGAACTACCAGAAGTACAGGCAGGATTTCGAAGAGGCAGAGGAACTCGAGATCAAATTGCCAACATACGCTGGATCATGGAGAAAGCTAGGGAGTTCCAGAAAAACATCTACTTCTGCTTCATTGACTATGCAAAAGCCTTTGATTGTGTGGATCACAACAAATTGTGGCAAGTTCTTAAAGAGATGGGAGTACCAGACCATCTCATTTGTCTCTTGAGAAACCTATACGCGGGTCAAGAAGCAACAGTGAGAACTGGACACGGAACCACTGATTGGTTCAAAATTGGAAAAGGAGTCCGGCCTACTTTCGCCTTGCCTATTTAACTTATATGCAGAGCACTTCATGAGAAAGGCAGGGCTAGATGAATCAAAAGTTGGAATTAAGATTGTTGGGAGAAATATCAACAACCTAAGATATGCAGATGATACCACTCTAATGGCAGAAAGTGAAGAAGAACTAAAGAGCCTCTTGATGCGAGTGAAGAAGGAGAGTGCAAAAGTTGGCTTGAAACTCAACATTAAGAAAACCAAAATCATGGCATCTGGCCCTCTCAATTCCTGGCAAATAGATGGAGAAGAAATGGAGGTAGTGACAGATTTTATTTTTCTGGGCTCAAAGATCATCTCAGATGGGGACTGCAGCCAAAAAATTAAAAGACGCTTGCTCCTGGGGAGGAAAGCTATGGCAAATCTAGACAGCATTCTAAAAAGCAGAGACATCACCCTGCCAACAAAAGTGCGTATAGTCCAGGCCATTGTTTTCCCAGTTGCAATGTATGGCTGTGAAAGTTGGACCATAAGAAAGGCTGAGCGCAAAAGAATGGAGGCCTTTGAACTCTGGTGCTGGAGAAGACTCCTGCGAGTCCCTTGGACTGCAAGGCGTTCAAACCGGTCAGTCCTAGAAGAGATCAACCCTGACTGCTCTTTAGAAGGCCAGATCCTGAAGTTGAAACTCAAATACTTTGGCCACATAATGAGAAGGAAGGACTCACTGGAGAAGGGCCTAATGCTGGGAAAGATTGAGGGCAATAGAAGAAGGGGACAACAGAGAATGAGATGGCTGGATGGAGTCACTGAAGCAGGAGGTGTGAACTTAAATGGACTCCAGAAGATGATAGAGGACAGGAAGACCTGGAGGAACGTTGTCCATGGGGTCGCGATGGGTCGGACACGACTTCGCAATTAACAACAACAATATTAGTGAAGCACAGTGTTGCCTCAGCCAGATGATTCCTGTTTTGCTTTCCAAACAACAAGTTCACTTGAACCATTCTCGACGTGGGGTCACGCTAGACAGCACTTGTGACTCTGAGACAGCCTTACTTAATAAAGCAGAATATGTAGCATTGGCCATGTCTTTAGTGGGTGTGCCAGGACCTGCTGTTCATGCTCACCTCAACATTAATGCTAATGTATGTAATTTAGCAAAAACAATGCTACTTTTTCAGCTATGTCAGCAATCAACCATGAGCTGCAAAATTTGAGAAAAACTATTTTGCAAAATCGTGCTGCTATCGATTATTTGCTTCTACATCAGCATTTGGGTTGTGAAAGTTTTGAGGGGATGTGTTGTTTCAATATTTCTGATAATTCACGAACCATCCAGCACCAGATTAATATTTTACACAATTTGGCCTCTGATTTGAAAATTGATACTTTAGGATCTTGGTGGAAAAATTAATAGTGGAAATTGTATAATTCCAGGTGGGGAGTGTGCTGGTCCAATATATAGCCATCTGGTCAGAGCATATAGCTAGTTTAGGAAATAAGAACGGTGTGTAAAGCAAGTAGCATTTTAAGGGTTAAAGTGCTGTCCCCTTAAGGATGGCCTTCTGGGAAATGTAGTTTTAGTTGTTTGGTCAGATCTGTGTTCTAACTGGCCACTGGGAGGGACTTGTGTTTTTATTACGGGATATCCTGTTTACGTGCCAGTCTATTATCTCTCCATGAATCCTAGCCACGAGGGTTAGGAGCTCCGTAAGAATGGGGAAATCTATTATCCTTTTACCTATGAGATGGGTCCAGATTACAATCTGCATTCTAGAAGAACTTCTGCAGTGACTGTAAGTTATTGACTTGAGGATGTCTGGAATAAAGTAATTTTATATGACTTATCCTTGGAGTTTATTCTGCCTGTTTCAAGTGAAATCCAGCAATCTCTTTGCATGAGATAGGAAAGGCCCCGTCCAACTCTGTCCCCTGTCATTTGGGGGTTCTGGCCTTCATGCCCCGTGGAGACCGGATCCTCTCTCCATCGCCCCTTGCTGCTGGCTCCAGGTAGTCTTTGATTTACAACCGTTTGTTTAGTGACCATTCAATCTCCCTGGTCACGGGATCAAAATTCAGACGTTGAGCAACCGACTCGTAAGTGTGATAGTCACAGTGTCCCAGAGTCTTGCGATCCCCTTTTGTGACCTCCTGCCAAAAGAGTCAATGGGGAAGCCAGATTCACTTAACAACTGCGTGAGCAGCTTAACAACCGCAGTGATTCACTTAACAACTGTGACAAGAAAGGTCGTAAAAGGGGGAAAAACCCACTTAACAACTGTCTCACTTAGCAGTGGAAATTTGGGGCTCAATTGTTTAAGTTGAGGGCTACTTCCACCCCCCCCTCTCTTGATGGGAGAGCCCCCCCCTTGTCCGAGGAGGCTACGTAGCTCTGCTGCTGGACGCAAAGGAGATGAAGGCATTGCAACATTTGCAGTTTTATTTTGCATTATTTTCCTTCCAATTCTCAGTGCTCAAAACAATCCTCTCTTTGTTTCGGCTTTAGCTGTGCCGCTGCGCATCTTATTCACTCTATGTTTCCACAAGCATGAAGGAGAATTTTGAATTGGATTACGACCTCGGAGGCTCTCCGGACAGCCGGTTAATTAGTCCGCATTCCAACCTCACAGGGATGTTGTGCCATTATTGCCATTCTATCCTTTTTGAGGCAGGGGCCCCTGAAATAATGACAGGAGGTAGTGGGGGGGTCTTTCGAAGGGAGGGGGTTAGGCCTGTGCAGCTTGGACTGAGGAGGGGCTTCTTGGACAGAGAGGGGTTCAGTCTGAGTAAAGGGGAGGGGGAGGCATCCCTCCAGCCTGGTGCCAAGGAAACTAGCGAGGGGGGGGCCAAGGGAAATCAATGTGGGGCCAGGCCAGGCCAGTGGAGGGATGGGGAGCCTAGGGGAGCCCAGGCGTCCAGCAAGCTGAGGTGCAGGATCCACATCCAGGACCCGCTAGTGGCCAAGGAAGGGCCCCACTCTCCCTTTCAAGATTGGGATGGGATCCACCCCCGCCCTGAGATGCCAGCCGGGAGGGTGATGCGTTTGGGTGGGCAGCCACTGGGAGGGGTCTTCTGGAAGGCCAGACTGCCTGGGACTGGGGAGGCAGCTCTGAGGCCCTTCAGGGCATCTGGAAGCGATGTGTGCGATTAGCAGGCAGGACATGCTTCTCCACGGGGGCCCCCGGCCGGGGATTCCGGATGGTGCCCATGAAGAGCGGGATGCTCGTCACGTCCTCTGTGATCATGAAGATGAAGGGCCGGTCGAGGGAGAAAACTGAGGCAGAGCGGACGCCCACTACGCTGGTGGCCGCTGCCGCCTTCACTCCCTCCTCGGACAGCTCCAGGGCGGCCCGGTGCGTGATGCTGGAGACCGTGAGGGGCCCTTCGGCAAGGCGGCTGAGGTCTGGGACAGAAAAGAGCTCCCCAAGACCTGGAGGGAAGAGAGGGGAGCGCAGCTGAAGTGGGAGCAGCTCCTTGCCCATCAAATGGGGCTTTACCTGCAGAAGCTACCAGCTCATCTCCTTCTTCTGGACAGGGTGCTTTAGAGGAGGAGGAGGAGGAGGAAGAAAAAAAAACTCTGGATGGAAAGTCAACATAGATAGCAAGAAGAAGCTGGGCGAAGGGGGGGCGGGAGTTGCAGGCTTTCTGCCCCGTCTGTGTGTCTCACCTAACCGAGTTAAGACCTCATTGAGGTCCATGTGGTCCTCTAAGTTCAGCTTTGGCATCTTCACCCTGGTGGACATCTCCTCGGGGAACGACGTCTGCAGGTTGTGCTGGAGGACCTCAGACAGAACCTGGGCGAAGTTCTTCTGCTGGTCGAGGCTGGGGACGATGGCCACGAAGGAGGTGTTGCCTTTAAAGGGGAACTTGGCAACCTGGAGGAAAGGGCAGAGGAGGGTCTGGGAAGGAGGCAGGCACAATCATGGGGGCCTGTGGGTGGCCCCCTCTCACAGAAGCCACCAGGGCCTCCCTGAGGCCTCCTGGTGGGGCGAGTGAATGCAAAAGCATCCGGTGTCATGGCTGCCCTTCTGCTAAGCTACGGATGGCAAGATGGCAGCCTGGCATCAGTAATGGGGGGAGGGAGCAGTGGGGGATGGGCAGGCAGGGAGGGGGCTCGGAGGAAGTGAAACCAAGCAGACAGTCCTGTGGGAAGCACAAGGACACACAGACACACATCTCAAGGTCACACCAAAAGAATGTGCAGCCCCAGTGGCAAAGACGGGACCATTTCCCAAATGATTCGTTAACACCTCATTGGCCAGTGACTGATAACCAGGGGGTTGGCCTGGAACAAGGGAAAGCTAACCTTATCTTTGCATGCAAAAATCTCAGATCCAGCTTTGCTTCTTCTGTAACCACTTTGGCTTTAGTAAAGTCTACTTTTGGCTAATCAGGGACCAGGTTTCTTTCTTTTCTAACTGGCCAAGTTGGGACAGTTCACATCTGGGTTCTCCTCTCACCCCCCTCGCCCGCCTGCCCCCCCTCTACCTTGGCCTCCAGGGACTCCATTGTGAACCAGCTCAGGGGGAAGATGTGTCCCTTCATCATCTCCACGGAGACCGCAGTCTCCTTGTCCAGGTGGACCAGGCTGCGTTCCGTCAGGAGGGGGTCGAACTTGGTCTTCCAGAACCCTGGTCCACGACGGAGAGGACATCAGGCCCAGGGTCAAAAGGCCGGCGACCTTCCCCTCTCCCAAGCTGGTCCTTTCACCCTCAGAGCTGAAGGTCTTCGGCTTCCAGGCTTCCAGTCCCGTTTGGAAGAAACCCAGATCGCCCGCGGTGGCTTTCCCCCCCAGCCGGGCGGGAGAGGCCCACCTTGGAAGTAGACCGCGTTGAGAAGGACCATCAAAACGTTGGGAGGCAGCTCGGTCAGCATGATGGGGATCTTCCCATTGGTGGCTTCTTTCACCCAGCTGTTGATGGCGTTCAGGTCAGCCGTGCTGTTCCCAGAAAGGAGGACTGGCTTTGCTCCGTAGAATCTCTGGGACGCCTCCAGGAATTTGTCTTTGACCGGGAAGCCTGGGAAGAAGGAGGCAGGGGAGTCAGGCCCAGCAGGGGGGCCTCACCGCTCCCCAACTTATTTATTTATTTATTTATGAGACTTATATACCGCTTTAAGTGCGAGCACTCTCTAAGCGGTGTACACCAGTAAGCAATGTATATATATATATTTACATTGCCCCCAACAATCTGGGTCCTCATTTTACCTACCCCGGAAGGATGGAAGGCTGAGTCAACCTTGAGCTGGTGAGATTTAAACCGCTGACCTGCTGAACACAGTCAGCTAAAGTGGCCTGCAGTACTGCACTCTAACTGCTGCGCCACCTCCTGGAGGGGAGGCTGTGATGCCCAGTCCCCTGGCCCCGAATGGGCTGAAGGCCCTTCCTGACTCTAAGGGGCCGCGGTTGTGTCGGAGTAGCGTTTATTTGTGAATAAATAAATTTCGCTGAGATTAGGTCGGCCTTTTTTCCCGATTTAAATTTAGTAACTGCTCCGTCCAGAAGAAACGGCCAGGCAGATTAAGTGTCCTCCTAAGGCTATCCGAGGTGGCCTGGCAGCCTGGCACCAAAAGAAGCCTAGAGAATTTCATCTGCCGACAGCCGGCACTGGCACCCTGGGCGGATGGGCAGGCCTCGGGTGCTCTCACTGCCCTCCAGGGCCATCTTGGCAAATCCCAGCAGTGCAATGTGCCCCCCCTGCCGCTCTCCTCCTGGGGCAAAGCGTCTCTCTCTCTCTCTCTCTCTCTCTCTCTCTCTCTCTCACACACACACACACACACACACACACACACACACACAGGGGCTGAAGTGGCTGCCCACCTCTTGCCCACAGGGATGGCTCACCTTTCTTTAGGAAGAGGCGGCCGGCTATGCTGAGGGCCGTCTGGTGGAGATGCTGGGTGACCTCCCGCAGTGCCTGGTGGAGGCAGGGCACAGAGTCCATGTGCAGGACCTCCAGGAGGTGCTTCTGGGTCTCGTTGGCAGCCCCTGAAACAAGGCAGGCTCAGCCCGGGCCAGGGAAGCAGTGGCCGAAGGGGGTCTGGGGGAGCAGCCCTTAGGAGCCCACCCACCCTTGGCAGCGTAAGAGGAGCAGCCCCCCTCCCCCGGGTGAGCTGCTTGGACCAGAGGGGGCTGGTAGTCTGTGGGCAGTGGGGCTGCAAGGCTTCTCCCCCCCCATTCATTCCTGGGGAGTCTGCCATGGCATCCAGGATGGCCATCTTGGCACTAGTGGCAACTGGAGCTCAGCAGAGCAAATGAGACAGCTGGGATTAGCGGGAGGAGGAGGAGGAGGAGGACAGCTGCGCCTCTGCAGGAGGCTCTTTCCTGAGGGGTGCTCCCCAGCAGCCTGGGGGGGTCAGCCTCCCCCCTCCGAGAAGGGTCTTCCGGGCGGTGTTACCTAAGGACAGGTGGGAGAGGGCCAGGGCGATACTCAGGGGCGAGAAGATGGTGTTGCCCGTGCCCTTCTCCGCCTCCATCTCCCGCAGGAGGTCCACCCCCAGGGCCCTCATGGCCGAGGCGATCTGGCCCGCGCTTCCAGAGAGGGCCCAGTCCCGGCAGCCTTCCTCCCCCTCCTCCTCTCCCTCGAGAGAATTGGGGAGGCCGTCCGGAAACGTCTCCCCCTGGCCGGCATCTTCATCTGGAAAGTGGGGAGGCAGCTTTGTGGGGCCTTGAAGGGCCCCCTGGGACCCGGGTTCCGTTCCCGCCTGTAGCAGCAGACCGTCTTCAGGGGGAACCGCTGCAGCAGTGACCTGCAAGGGGAGGAGGGGGGGGAGAGAAGAATCTCTGAATCTCCTGCCAGGAGCCCCCCCTCCAGTTCAAAGCAGCTCCTGGGGGGTCCTCTCTGAGCCAGGTTGCTTTCTGGCAGGCGTTTCGTTACCCAGCTAGGTAACCTCATCAGTGCTGGAACGAAGGGCGGCTTGCTGAGTGTTGCTATACATGTGTCAGTGTTGGTGGTTGCATTCTTGGCGGTTGTTCAATATTAGTTTGGTTCTTTGAGTTGGCAGCTCCTTCACCGGGGAACTGTTTACTTCTTGATTGCTGGTCTGTTGTGCTAAATCCTGTGCTAATCTCGGCTCATCTGGGAAGGTGGAGCGACACCCTTCAAGGGGAAGATCTGTCTAAAGCAGCCCACTGGACAGCTGGCCTCAAAGGAGATACACGAATGGATCCCGCACTGCAGATGGGATCAGATCAGATCCCAGCACAGACCTGCTTCTTCCTGCCTCTGGCCCTTCTCTGAGCTTGGCTAAGAGCTGCCCATCTCTGGCTTTGTTCCCAAGTGGGCCTGCCCCTTCTGGGGGGGGGGCCTGCGAGGCCTTCACACATGCCTGCCAGTCAGAATCCAGCAAAGCCCCCCCACTTCCTGGCCCTGAGCTGTCGCGTTTTGCTGCCTCGCTGACCTCAGTGCCTCCTTGCAGGTTGGAGAAGCAGGATTTGAACCTGCTTCTTTGGCTTCGAACAGAGACACGCCCTGAGCACCCTCCCTCTCCCGCAGAACAGAGCAGCCTCCCTCCTCACGGAAGAATTCTCAAAGGGAAGCAGGCTGTAACTCACCTGGTCTGACCCAGCACACAGAGCAGGAAGGCAGGTGGCCAGCAGCGTCCAGAGCAGCAGAGCCATCAGGCAGCAGAGGAGGGGGCTGCAGGAGGCAAGAGGCTGTGCTGACCTGGTGCACTTTAGAGTCCCAGGGGGCCAAACTGAGGCGCCTGTTCTCCCCCCCTTCCCTTCCCCTGCAGGACCCACGGGGTCAGGCCTGGCACCAAGTGGCACTGGCTGCGGCTGGCCTGGTTGGGCTTCTTTCTCAGCCCCTTCTCCCCCACCTCCCCCTGAAGTTGGGAGGAAGTGCCACATCTCCTGGTGTGTGTGTGTGTGTGTGTGTGTGTGTGTGTGTGTGTGTGTGTGAGGGGGAAGTACCAGTCTCCCCCACCCAGAACCAACACCAGAACCCAGGAAACAGAGGGATTTCCACACTGCCAAAAAAGGGCAATGGTGGCCCAGCCCAAAGATGGCAGCTTTCCTGCCCCCTGTGCCAGTCCACCCCCTTGCTGCCCCCTACTTCACCTTGTTCCTTGAGCAGCTTTTCCCCACAGCTCTGCCACTGCCCCTCTCTGGCCCTTAAATGGGGCAGAAGAGCCCCAGCCTAACCAGGGACCAGCAGCAACGCCTCTCCCCCTGGCAGGCAAATATTGACTTTCTCCGGTATCCGGTTAAACATTTGTTCAGAATCTCAGGTCCAAGGGGCAATGCAGCCCCCCTGGCACCTCCCCCTTTGACGGGGCCCTTGAGGAAGCACCTTGTCTGCGGAGGGGAACGTGGCCCAGCCCCCCACCTTCTCTTGCATGTTTGGCCCCTCCTGAGCTCCTCTGAACAAGTGGGCAGAAAGCAACCGGAGCCCAATGCCCCCCCTTTCCCCCTCCTCACTCCAGGCAGCAACTGTGCAACACCAGCAGCCCCCCCCCCAGGGGGGCCTTCAGGCACCTTCTCTCTTGGCCAGGGGTTCCAGGGTGGCCTGCAGGCACTCCTGCTGTGTCTGTCCCCACCCTTCAGAAACAGACAAGAACATCCTGGCTAGTCTGTTCGTATCATTGATATTCATAGCCTCCCCCCCCCTTCCAGAACTTTCTCTGGTCACGAGCTGCCCAGGGTCCAGAGAAAGTATTTAAAATAAAAATAAAGGGGCAGCTCTGAAGACCTCCACTGCTGTGCTTTGACAAAAGAGGTCAGGCGGGGCTTCCGTGGGGCAGCCCTTGAGAAGGCAGGATTGGGCCCACTCCTCTTAGAAGCCAGCGGATCCAGCCCCCAGAGGAGGGAAGGGCAGGAGCCCCCTCTGGCCACCCGTTTCCCTACCCAGCAAGGGACTCCCCCAGGCCAGAGGCCAGATTGGGAGTTGCCCAAGCCTGGGGGGATTAACCTGCCTCCAGGCAGGCCTTGACTTAAGAGTAATTCGGAGAACTTCCACTGTTAAGAAAGGCGGTTGTGACTCATGCCCTATTTTACAACCGTTTTTGCCAGGCTGCTAAGCAAATCACTGCAGTTAAATGAATCTGGCGGTCATGAAACGGATCCATGCTCACTGCTGTGTCGCAAAGGGGGACCACGTGAGCCTCAGACGCTGCAGGTGTTGTAACCGCCGGTTGCTAAAGTGTTCGAACTTTGATCAGTTGACCCTGGGGATGCTGCTGTGCCCCCCCATTTTCAGAGCCGTTGTCACTTCGGTCACAGGTCTGGAGTAAGGCCAGGCTCACCTACTGGCCTCCCCCGCTGCAGACGCAGAGCGTGGCCGCTTCCCCAGAGGGTCTCTGGAGCCCCCAAAGGGTTGGTCGGCCAGACCGGCATATCCTCGAATCAAACTCCCAGTCAGGGGGGGGGGAGGCCATTTCAGCGAAGGCTCTTCCTTGACCGCACCTTCGCCACTTCTGGCTTCTGCCTTATCCTTGCCCCACGGAGGGGGAGGGGGAGAATGATGTTTGGGGTGAAAAAGAGAAGGCAGAGAGGCAGCAGCTCCGCCATTTCTCTGCTCCCTGCTTGCTCCATTGAGATGGGAGGGGGGACTTCCCCACCTCCTCAGCAAAAAGTCAGAGAATCGTAGTTTCTCAGGAGGTTTATTTCTTGCAAATTCTTCAATCAGCAGTGAGAAGCCCCCCCTCCAGCCCTCCCCCCCAGTTCCAGGGAAGAGAGGGAAAGTGCTGGACTGGGCCGTGGGAGGAAGATGGGGGGGAGGGCTCCTTGGCAGATAGAGGGCTTTGTGGCCAGGCAAGGAAAGTGTGTGTGTGGGGCGGGGGGGCTTCCAACACTTGGCCGACAATGGGAAGACTTGGAAGGGGCAATCATTCCTTCCTGCCCAGAAGCCCCTTCCCCAAAGGGCTAATCAGGGCAGAGAAAGCAGCGGAGGGGCCCACCACCCAAAAGCCGTGGGATCTGCCGCTATTCCCTCCTTCCTGCTAGCCCCCAAGTTAGGGGAGAAGGGCATGACCTCCAGGCATCCAGGCGCATCTCTGCCAGTCCCCAGGGAGCATCAGGCACATACGGTGATGGAGGGTGTCTTGGCTTTTCTTGGGCTGGGACTACGGGGGGAAGGGGCGTCCCCAACCTTCTGGTCCCCCCCCAGGGCTGTTGGCCAGCCACAACTGTCCCCCTCTGCTTCAGAAGCAGGGGCTACGCCAGCAGCCGGACAGTGCCATTGTCCGAGCCCAGCAGCAGGTGGCATTTGGTAGGAAGGACGGTCAAGCTGGTGAGGGTCCCTCGGAAGTTCTCGGAGCTCAGCTTGGTGGTGCTGGAGGCCGAGGGCCCCTGGAAGGCGTAGACGCCAATTTTGTTGGCCACTGTGCCGGCCACCACCTCGTTGCCATAGAGGTCAAAGGGGTGGAGGGGCTCGGAGGCCGATTTGTACATCTGCAGGGGCTTCGGCTCCAGGTCTTTCCAGATGGTCAGCGAATGGTCGGAGGAGGAGCTGACCAGCACGTTGCCCTCGGTGGCCTACCAGGGAGAGGGAAGCAGCAAATACGCCTTGGCCCAGCGGTGAGAGTGGTGCGACAGCCCTCGGCCACTGCCCTTCTTTGCCCCTTTCCAGGATGGAAGGTGAGGCTGCGGGGTGGGAGTCTGTTAGTGGGCAGTGCCCACACCCAATCACCCCGAGGGGGCTGCAGGCTCCTTGGGGCGCCTGATTTCTGCCCAGGGAGCGAAGCCCATCTGCTCAGTCAAGGGGAAGCTCCCAGCATCTTTGCCAACCGATGCCAGGGCAAAAGGGCGCGACCAGCATCAAAAGTCCTGGTGGGAACGGGCGCCGGCACTTCCAGAGCTCCCACAGGCTCTGCTTCTACTCAGGTCAGTCTGAACCTCCTTGCCAGGCACGCACTTCTGGGTGCTGGGCAACCCCAGAACTGGGCAGGCTGCTGGGTCTCCTGGAAGTGGCGCCTCCAACCGTTGGGCGCAGTGCAGGAGGACCAGAACAGGGCCCGGAAGACCCAGCTGGGCCGCTGCACCCTTCATCCGGCCACAAATGAACCCTTCAAGCCCAGCAGCTCACCTTGACCTGCAGGATGTCTCCCTCGTGGGCTGACCAAGACTTCTGGATCAGGCCTGTACGGGTGTCCAGAAGGACCATGAAGCCAGAGGAGAAGCCGGCCGCCACGCTGCGCCCGCTAGGACTGATAGCCAGGCAGCGGATGAGGCCGGCGCTGGCTCCGCTGGCCAGCCGGAATTCCTGCTGCAGGGCCGAGAGAGCAAAGAGATGTCAGAGGAGGGGCTGCCGCCCCCATGACTATCTCTTCCCAGCCCAGAAAAGCAAAGCAAGACCCCTGCCCGCCCGACCACTCCTCGTCTCCCCCCGTGGCCCCAGGCACTACCTGCCAGCCTGGCTTCCGGTGGTCGATGAAGCGAAGCACCGAGTCTGCGCTGGCGATGCTGATGCTGCCATGGGGGGGAGGCATGGGGCAGAGTGCGGTGACGGGCGCCTTGGAGTCCAGCGCTTCAAAGGTACGGACCACTTTGCCTGCAGCAGAGACTCAGCTGAGCTGTGCCCGAGAGGGAAGGGGCGGCACCAGCCTCAGGGGAAGGGGCCCTGCCCAGGAAGCACTGGAGGGGATTGAGGAGACCCTCCCCAATGCTCTGACCCAAACCAAAGAGGAGCTGTGGGGTACAGAAGTGTGAAGCAGAGTCTCTGAGTTCCTCCCAAATTCTCTCTCTAAAAAAGAGGGGGGGTTCGGGGTCTTTTTCTGCATGTGAAAGTGCACCCTGATGCACCGCTGACCCCGTCTCCTGCCTTAATCTGCTTAGAGCAACTGCCAGCTGCCACCTGACCTGCGCTCGTGTGCGTGTGACCCTCCGCCTTGAACCCTGGACAGTGAGGATGCTTGGAGGGGGGAAAGCGAAAGTATTGCAGCTCTGACAGCAATCTTGTCCGTGCAATTGGCAGGACAACCTGCCACACGCCTTATGGAGAACCCTTTAGCAAGTGGGCTACCTAGTCAGGGCCTTTAGACGGGGAGGGGAGGACTGTCCCACGGGAGTTCCTCTCCTCAGCTCAAGTAGGAGGGGGTCTCTCCCTCCAATTGAGGAGTCAGTCTAACCGCTGCATCAGCTTTGGGCCCCAGACCTCTCAGAGGTGAGCCTCAGCAAGACCCTCTGCCAGGGACTGACCGCAAGGGCTGACCCCACGATGGCCACAGAAAGAAGCGCGTGGAGTCTCCCATGTTCCTGGCCCAAGCACCTCAGGGTCCATCCACGCCATTTGCTCGTGGTGCTGCCAGAGACTAGGGCGAGGGGGGTGCCTACCAGTGGGGGCGTCCCAGATGTGGATGGTGCCATCACAGCTGACCACGTGCTGCGGGGCCTCCAGCAGGCCGACGTAGAAGACAGACTTCTTGTGCCGGTCGTAGGTCAGCCGGGGCTCGGTCTCGTGGCTGCCGTCCCCTCGATTGTAGAGGGGCCAGAGGCGCACGGTCTTGTCCTTGCTGCCGCTCAGGAAGAAGTCCTCTCCACTCAGAGCGGCCATGCACTTGACCGCACCCCCGTGGCCCACAAAGCTTTGCAGCTTGATCTGGTGGAAGTGAAAGGGGGCATCGTGCTGGCTGACCCCAATCTCGTACTGCCAGTACGCCAGCCAGTTGCCCAGGAGGAGGCGAGCGCTACGTCGCAGCTCCTGCTTCAGTGTCCCCCCTTCCTGGCCCCCCAGTTTAGGGCAGAGGCTGCCCCTGGCCCCGCTCAAGGGGTCCTGCTGGGCTTCGGAGGGGACCTGGATGCGGTTGCCCACCAGCACACTCCCAAAAGTGCCCGACCGCGTGTCCTCAGCAGGGCCGGAGGAGGGCTCGGCTCCCAGTGCCTCCTGCTCCGAGGGGGCCTGGCCTGGCCCAGCAGCTGCCTGTCTTTCGGACGAGGGGCTGGCCTGCTCCAGGTGAAGGCTGGCCAGCTGCCAGACCAAGGCATGGTTCGGCACAATCGCGTGAAAGGCGTCACCTGCCAAGATGGGAGAAAACAACTGAGAAACGTGCTGATCGGAGAGTTCTGCTCCCGAAGCAAAGGCGCCCAGGAGCCCCACATGGGGGTGGGTTTATTATCGCAAAAAGCCCCCTCTTGGGGCAGGCCCTGAGAAGATTCCTGCACCCCAAATGATGGAGGAGAAGCCCAGCCTCCCTCTCGTGCAGGGCGCAGGAGAAAGAGGATCAGGAAAAAGTGGGGAGGGGGGAACAGGGGTCTCACCCAGCAGGCTGGAGAAGGGCACAAAGGCAGCGTAGGCCATTTCTGGGCTGAAAACTTTCTGGAGCTCCAGGAGAGGAGAGGCGTCCGCAGACAGCGGCTGGCCCTGAAAAAAGGGGACTCCTTTGTCACACCTGCAGAAAGGCCGAAGGGGAAGGAGACAGTCCGGCCACTTGCCCGCTGCCTCCTCTTAGGCCAGGCGATTCCCCCCCCCCAGGAGGCTGTCCTGGTACTTCAGAAGGCCCCCGGCTCATTTCTGAAGCAGCCGCTGTCCGGATCTCTGGACATCCCTCAGGAGCCCCTTTGACCACCACCCCCCGAGGCGTATTGGCGGGGAAGATCTGGGGTGGGCACTGACCATCCCTGTCCCCTCCTCAGCCATGGCCTGCCCACCAAGGACCCCCTGCTCCCCGGGGCCACAGACTTACGGACTCCAAAGGCAGCGAGGAGAAGCTCTCGAAGAAGCCCCGGAGTGTGTGGCGCAGGTGCTGCTGAGCCATCTCCGGTCCGATCCGTAAACAAACCAGCACCATCAAGCGGATGGTTTTCAGACACAAGGCGACCCGGCCCTGGACCCCACTGGGGAAACTGGAAGGAAGAGGCTCTCAGCACCCATCACTCTGCCCAGCGTGCCTGCCCGCCACCCCCCTCCCCCAGCTGCCACCCCGGAATCACAGGCATCGGTTTAAGGGGTGCTGTGTTTGTTCCAGCAGCCCTCCTAGGGGATCCCTTGCTGCTGAAGGGGGGAGGCCGGTGCTGCTCTGGCCGTGGCCACTCTGCCCCCCTCCTGGCCAGGCGCACCTGAGGGTGGGCGAGGTGAGGAAGCCGAGAAGGGGAAGCAGGACCTCCTGGCTGATCCTGGGCAGGATGTCCATCAGGGTGCTGTCCGACAGGTAGACCACGATCTTCTGTCCGAGCGCCACAGCTGCCAGCAGCCCAGCTTCCTTGCGGCTGTTCAACCGACCGGCTGCCGCCCCTCCACCAGGAGCCACCTGGAGGGAAAGGCTAGCGATGGGCAGGCATATGACCCCCCCCGTATGACCCCCACCAACAACTGCGGAGCTGAAAGCCCCTCGCCCGGCCCATGGACTACGCCACAACAGCATCTCCCACCACGGCAAAGAGGGACCCTGATGGGGATGCCGAGGGTTTGGGGAGGGGGGGGGCAGTCCAGCCCATGGCAGGGAGGGACAGGTGCTCAGGACCCATTTTCTCCAGGACAGATTCTCAGGAACTTCCAGGCAACCCCCCGAGGTCAGAAAGGGTTAGACTTCACGCTCTGGACTGGCTGGAGCGTTCCTTCACAGATGGTGGGAATGAGAAACTCTCTCCACAGGCTAATTGACGAGTCAAGTAAGCGGGGGGGGAGGGGGGAGCTGGATGGCAAGACAATTAAACGGGCTGGCGCAGAACGGTCATCTGTGGGTCCCTGTTTCAAGCATTTGTGACGGACGATGACAGTTACTGACCAAAGATGAAGATGACATGAAATAGGGGGAGGGGTATATATTGTATGTGGCATAAATTAAATAATAGAGTTTTGGAAAAAATATTGGACCAAGCAGGGTAGGAACCAATGGTGGAAAGTGGCTGCCTGATGCTTCTACAGCCGTCACCCTACGGCCTGCCAATCACCCCTCATGCGGTGAGTTTTAAGAGGAGACGTAGGAACAGGACGATGGTCTTGGGGGGAGGAGAAAACGCTCGGGTGAGGCTCTCCCAGGGAGTGACCCCTCCCACAATGGAGGAGGGGATCCTGCTTCTGCCTCAGATGGAAGAGCCAAAATAAAAATGAGGAACTGCATGCCTGAACCGAAAGCAGAACAGCCAGCAATGGGCTTCCTTTGAGAAATGGATCACTCCAGGGAGGTGCAGCTGACAAATTGGTCCCCACCTTGGCTGAGGCTGTGGGCAGAACGGGGGGCGGCTCAGCCCCTGGCCTGCAGGACCCCTTCAGCAGGACGGAGGCTGCTGCACAAGGAAGCCTGGCCTGGCTAAAGGCAACCTCTACGTGCTGATGGATAGGCAGCCCATCGTCTTTTGGCTTGGAGGGCAGGAACCCTCCAAGAAATGCTCCCTGCTCGGCCAGCCACCTGATGTCCACATCTGCCTCTTGGTCTCTCCTGGTGGCCCAGGCACCAAACTCAGGGTGGGATTTTTAACCAAAGGGGGCTACGGATCTCCCACCAATAACACCTGCAGTCGTGCAGAAGTGCCCAGTACTGCCAACGCTGCCTGGCTTCCTGGGTGGGAGCAATGGGGGTTAAGAGGGGGGCTGGGGCGACTTCCGGCTTGCCGATGTGGCCGCCTTGGACGTCTGGAAGGCGACCTCCGTCTTCCGCGTCCAGTTTCTGTTCACTAGGGGACGTGGAAAGGGTTGAAAGTCACCCTATAGGGGCGACCAGCAAGGAGGGGATCCCTGCTTGATCCGGGGCAGCCCTCCAAACTGGTGGACGAAAGACTGGCCATAGCAATATGGCTCATCACTGCAGACAAAGTCACACTTCCCACCAAGCAATTATAAAGCAGCGCAAATAAGATTGGATGAGATCTACCTCTCTTAAATCCTAACTATCTTTTTTACTTCCATAAGTACTTTCCCCCCTGTGGAGAGGGACGGGAGATTTTACCCCTCCTTCTGGAAACAGCGGCGACTGACTATCCAGGGGAGTTTAAAACGTTGCAAGAATAACTTGATCCTAATTGGAATTTTATTTTTTAAAGTTTGTGGACTAAAAGATTTTCTATTCTTACTGAAGATCTGGGTTTTTACTCATAAAAAAGAAGCAAAACTGAAAAGATTATAAAAACTTTGGACTTAAAAGAAAACTTTAAATGGTATGGGTGACATCTTGTGGCTAAACCTGATATTACAACTTGTTATTGCTTAAAAGAGACTTGGCCAGCAGCCCAGACAATAGATAAGACTATTGAGGATCAAGAAGAACAGACTGAAGAGAAGATGAACAGTTCAGGACAACTACATTGAGAGATGATTTGTTAGTCCTCTCCAAAAAATGGCGCCTGGTTTTTTCTATGTCAAACAATATACATAACAACACAGGGAGATTTATTTGATGATTCAAAAGCAAAGATATGGAAGACAATTTGGCAAAGAAAGAAAGCTAGAATAAGACTGAAGAAAATGGGGGTTTTGACATTAGTGAAAATTAAAATAGAATATACTCAAATAGATAAGATGTGTACTTTGAATATTAGATATTGTTATGAATTGAGATAAAGAAACCTTTGGTCATTTAAAACTTGGAAGTATAAATATTAACAGTTAAATTTGAACATTGATTTGCTTATAAAGATTAAATGTAAAGGTAATTAAGATATACTGTACATAAGTAAAAATGTATCGATGAATGTAATAAATATGCTTATTTAGCGGTAATAATAAAAATTACTAGCTTAAATATGAGATAGTAGATATTAAGAGAAAAAGAGAGGAAGTATTAAATGTTAAGATAAAAAAAAATTGGTTACTAAAGATATTTGGAAATTACTAGAAAATAAGAATATTATATTGTATTACTAATTAGTTGATGTAAGATGGTGAGAATTCAAATAGATAAGACGTGTATCCTGAACATTAGATCTTGTGATGAATTGTGATAAAGGGAATTGGGGTTATTTAAAACTTGGAAATTATAAATATTAAACATTAAATTTAAATATTAATGGGAAACTAAAAATTGGGAAAAACTAAACAGCACATTGATTGTCTAAAATGAATGTTAAATCAATTAGGATATATATATAAACTAAAAATTATTGATAAATGTAAGAAAGTTATTTTTATTTAATTGATATAAGAATTGTATTAATTTAAATATGAGACAGTAAATACCAAGGGGAAAAGAGAAGAAATATTTAATGTATTAATTTGAAATCTGTACTAAGGATATTTGTATGTTATTGAATTATTGATCAATCCAGCCGCCACGTTGCTTTTCAAATATTTAAATGCAAAACCAGAAATTCAATAAAATTTTCTTTAAAAAAAAAAGAGGGGGGCTGGGGCAGAAGGTGGAAGACTGACCAGGTAACTGATGTAGGGCAGGTAGAGATAGGTGAGGACTGGTTCCCCGTAGAGATGTGCTATATGGACCAGGCAGGTGAGCACCGGCTCGGAGACCACGTCGCCTGCCACGGGCCGCCTCTGCTCCAGGTTTCCAGCGCTCAGAGGGCCACCTTCTTCGGCCCCAGCCACGAACTGCTGTCTGCTTGCACCTGTGGAGAGCAGGAGGGAGGCATCTTCAGCCTTGCCAGCTGCGCCACATTGCCACCCTTCCCACCCAGCAGAGGAGCCTACCCAGATAGCAGGAGGCCAGCAGCCGGAGGAGGTTTCTGGCGACGTACCGGCAGGCGGTGGTAGGGCCCAGCTTGGCCGACAGCCACCGCACCATCCTGCAGGCGGTGTCTGCAGATAAGAGGGCAGGTAAACCGCAGCTCCACCACACCCAAAGCTCACAGCCCCCCCCCCATCCTGCGACATGCCAGGACAGGCAAAGCCTCCTGATGCCATGTTGGGGCCTTGGGACCCCCTCCCACCTCATGGCTCTCCTCTCCTGGATCACGACCCCCTCTGTGTGGGGCCCTCCTGCTCTTCAAGGCAGCCAAAGGGGAACCCTGAGCAGCAACGACCCACTTCGTAGAGCAATGCCCAGAAAGCTCAGACACCCACGGCCAGCACTCTTCACAGGGTGCATCTCCGCTACACTGAGCCGGCAACTCACCTATCAGGATGCTCTGCTCTTTGTCCACATCCTGGTCCAGCAGATCCTGCTGGCTTTCCCCGGCCTCTTCCTCGGTCAGAGTGGGCTCCACAGAGGGGCCGGCAGCCTCTGAGAAGACCGGCTCTTCTGTGGCCAAAGCAGCCTCCTTGCGGCCTTCTTCCCCATCCTCCTCTTCCTCTTCCTCCTCCTCCTCACTGTGCTTCGGGTCCTGGCTGCCATCCAGGCCCTGGAGGCCGGCGGCTTTGTCCTGCGGTTCCTCCCCCAGCAGCCCCTCGCCCGCACCACCCTTATCACTCAGCTGACCCAGGCTCAGGGCCTCAGCCAGGTAGAGGCCATTTGGAAGCTCCTCGCTCTCTGGCGGGTAGGCCTGGTCGTGCAGGCTGATGCCTGACATGTAATTGACCAGCTCCAGGCCGGCGTCCCCCTTGGCCTCTTCCCCAAAGGACCGAGAGGCCGGGCTGCTCCTGTCGCTCTCCTCACTGTCCTCCTCCGCCGTGCTCAGCAGCAAGGCCTTGTTCTCCTCCTGGAAGGAGCCCTCTGCACCCCCCAGCACCTGCAGGATGTGGGGCAGCAGGTGGGCAAGGAAGGGCTGCAGCCCCAGCCGGGCCATCAGCTGGGCCACGAAGCAGTCCGTGTAGAGGTAGAAACGGCCGTGGAGGCCCCGGGGGCTCTCGTAGGCCCCAATCAGGAGCTTGAGCAGGTACTTGTTGGTGTTCTTGGGGCCCAGGGCTCTGGCGATGGGCTCAAAGAGGTACCAGGCGGCATGGACAGCCGTCCTCTGCTCGGACAGCAGGGCCAGGATGAAGGGCAGCAGAATCTCCAGGCCTTCGGGAGTGATGCCACTCAGCACCCCGTCCAGCTGCTGCCACAGCTGGAAGACCAGCTCCCGGCCCTGCCCCTCGTCCCCAGCCCCCTGGGAGAGATAGGTCAGGATGAACCTATGCAGGGCAGGGAAGTATGCCGGGAAGGGCAGGACCCCGCTGTAGGGGCTCAGCAGCTGCGACGGGCACGGTGGGGGCAGGCCTTGCCAGACGGGCTCGTAGGCGAACAGCTGGGGCCCCCTGCTGCTCTGCGCCTCTCTGAGAAGCTGGGGGTCAGGAACCTTCAGCTGCAGCAGCACCTCGAGCAGATGCTGGAGTGGAGGGGGGACCTCCTTGGGGTGAAGCCGGCAAAGCCTCCGGATGGCCTGGAAGCGCTCACGCAGTGAGGCCGTCGGCTTGGAGGTGCGGAGCTTGGGGGCAAAGAGGATCTCACCCACCAGCACCCCCAGCACTTGCATGTCCCTCTGGAAAAGGTCCGAGAGAGCCACCGGGAGCCGCAAGGGGGGCTGCTCCAGCCAATCCACTGCCCTGTGCACGGCCTTCAGCAGGAAAGTATCCAGCTTCTCCAGTTCCTCCAAGGCCTGAAGCAGCTGGTGACCCTCCGGCAGGACCACCTTCTCCTCTACCCCTTCCACCTGGAAGAGGGGGGCGGGGGCCTTGGTCCGCCAGGCAAGTGGCCGGCTGTCCACAGGGAAGCTGGGACCCTGGGCAGGAGGACCAGGTGGCTCCGAGCCTCTGCCAGGTGCCGGGCCAGACTCCAGGGCCTCTGCTCCCTGCTCCACCTCCTCTTCCGTGCTCAGCCCAATCCTGCCTTCGCAGGTAGCTGCACTGATGACCAGCCCACCGGCCATCTGGCTCCCCTTGGGGGTCTCTAGCACTCGTGTTTCTTGGACCGTGGGGATGAGAGGCCGGGTGGAGAGAGGGGCCTCTGCGGGCAGAAGGGTGGTCCCCACCAGTCGCCTAGGGTGGGGCTGGTCGAAGAGCTGCACGACCCCGTAGCTGGTGAGATGGGTGTGGTTGTCCACCAGGTGCAGGCAGACGTTCTTCTCCTTCACTGCCTCCTTACCCAGCAGCTTGTAGCCAAAGGTGAGGTCAATCCAGTGGTGCAGGTCCCGGGAGACCTCCGGGCTCTCCAGCAGGGCCCGGTGGGCAGCAACGAACTCTTCGCAGGAGCCGTACCAGGACGGCACCTCCAGATCCGGCATGTCAGGGTGGATGGACTTGAAGATGGTGGAGTCCGAGTAGAACTCGGGGATGCACTCGTCGGGGGTCCAAGCCTGCATGCGCTCGAGGTTGGCGGGGTATTCGTTGGGCTCCCACTGGGACCGGACGTGGGTGCACAGCACCGCCTTGGGCGTCCGCCGGGCCGTGTAGACATAATAGGTGATGTCGGAGAGGACGTCAGAGATGTGATGAGGCACATGGGGTTGCTCCCCACTCAGGCCACTGCCCCCCACCACAAAGGCCTGCTTGGTCATCTCGTAGGTGAAGTCCAGCTGCTTGTCCCCCTTGTTCAGGCGGAACTTGGACTTCCGCAGGTCACGGAATTGGCCCCCTTGGGGGGTGAAGTCCATCACCCAAGGGAGCACCGGGTGATAGTTGGGGTCCTTCGGGCGCCGCCCCGCCAAACGGTTCAGGTGCATGAGGTAGTCAAAGTTGCTGAGGCGGCCGTGCACCCAGTCCAGCACCAGATCCCCGAGGTCTGGCAGGGCCCCCGCCCCTTCTGCAGCAGTGGGACCCCTGGGCACCTGGCCCTCTGCTGACCCCTGGCCTGGAGTGCTCGAGGCCACTGCCACGCCTCCTCCCTGCCCGGCCTCCTCCCTGCCTGGCTGCTCGTACCCTTGAAGTGGGAGTCTGAGCCGGGCACACAGCTTCTCATCCACGGACACGTCCTCCAGCGAGAAGATGCCACACGCCAGGCCCGCCTCGTGGCAGGCCTGCATGGCCAGCAAGACCTGGAAGAGGATAAAGAGCAGCTTGGCGTGGCTGTTCATCAGCTTGGCGGGGCTGAAGGTGATGAGATCATGCAGGGAGTGCCAGACATACGGGAAGACCAGGTAGAGCATCTCTGGGGACTCCAACAGGGTGTCCGCCTGCAGGACGCTGGAGAAGCGTGGGGGGGTGTGGCCAGGGACCTCCTCCTCTTTGGCAGGAGAGGAGCAAGAAGGGGTCCTCCCCACAGGGACAAGGGGGCAGCCATAGAGCTTCTGCAGGGCCGCCCGGAGCCCCTCCAGGGCCTGGACAGGGGCTGGAGCCAGGGCTGGGTAGTAGCGCTGGACATACAAGCGATGGGCTTGGTTCCATAGATTCCTACAGTTCTGGGAAGCCACCCTGCGCATGAACTTGTGAAGGGTCTCTGGAGCCCCTGGGGGCTCTTTCTGCCCGTTGGCATTTGTGGTCAGCCGGTAGCGCAGCCAAAGCTTCTGCAGCCCGTGGATCTCCACTCGAGTCCAGCCCGTGGGCAGCTTCTGAATGGAGTGCTGGAGGCAGGCGTGGACCTCCATCTCGCTGAGGCCCTCCGGCTGCGGGCACAGAGCAGGCAGCACCCCCCGCTCCTTTAGGCTTGCCAGCCATTTCAGGGGCACGAGAGCCACCACATGGGAGCCCCTGAGCAGCAGCTGGCTGCGGGCGATGCCCAGGTCTTTCTCCACCTGCTCCAGGAGGGGATCCATTCTGGCGACGGCAGCTCCTCACCATTCCCTGCACAGGCAAAGCGCCCCGGGTCACACAGCCGACCGGGAACCAACGCCGGGAAGCAGAAGCGGGCAAAGCAGGGCTGGGCCGGCACTTCCTGCTTTCCCCGTGGCGGCTGGCAGTTGCAGTTTTTGGCAGCCCCTCCCCGGAACACAACCACGGGTCTACCCCCCTAGTAGTTGGGGGCCCTGCCTTTGCTCGCCTCTCTATCGCCCCCTCCAGAACGCGGCAAGGGCGGCAGCGACGCAGAGCGCCCCCCGCCGCCCTCCTCACGGGCTCCTGGGCTCCGGGCCCCTCCCGCGCGCATCCCCCTCCACACCTGGAGTCCCGGGAGCCCCGTCCTTGCGCTCCGGCCCCCGCCGAAACCGCCTCCGAGCCGGCTAGCGGGAAGGGGCCCACGAGGCGAAGGCGCCGGCCGGACACCGGCGCGTTCCCGGCACAGCCCAGCGGGCCAGGGAAGCGGGGCGGCGGGCGGGGGCGCCCTTCAGCGCTGGGGCGGGGGGGGAGAAGGGAGGGAGTGGGGCGGGGGTGACCGTACCTCTCCCCCCTGCCCGGAGCTCACCCGGAGCGCGCGACAGCCCCGCCTCCCGCCATGTTAGATCAGCTGATGCGCGAGTCACGTGGCGCCGCTTCTCTGGAAGGACACAAAGTCCACGTGGCCCCCGCGTCGGAGCTCGTCCCTAGTCCTCCCCCCCCCGGGTTTCTGCGAAGGAACGGGCCTCCCCCGCGAGACCGCGGGCGGGCCAAGCGGGCTCGCCCGGAACGTCTTCTCTCTCCTGCCCCCGCGGACCGTCCATTCGGGGAGCCCCGGGGGGGAGCTGGTGCGGCCCGGGTCCGCGGCCCCTTCCTGCCGGCCCCGACGCCTCTCATCGAGTCCTGGTCCAAATGCGGCGACAGGGCGCGGGCTGCAGCAGGGGGCGTCTGCAGCGGGCTCGGCGCGGTCGTTGCTGGAAGAGGAGGCGGTGGGCGGGCGGCGCTTTTTCCTTCGGCTATTATAGCGGCTGTCGACTGAGAGGCGTCCGGTTGCAGCCCCTTCGGGAGGGGAGAGTCAGCAACTGGGCAGCCTCTCCGGTCGCTTCGTGCCCAAACCCGGAGAGGACGGGGAGGAGGAGGAGCCGCCGGGGCTAAGGTGGCCGGCATCGCTTTGCCTGTCGCGGCAGCCCCTGCCGATCAGGAGGCACTTGCGGCGCCTCCAGGTAATCTCCGATCCGGCCCCTCCTCCCCCCTTGCAGGGAGCCTCTGGCCAGGCGGGGGCACCCCGGCCAAGAGTCCGCTGGGCAGGCAGACGGCTCAGCCTGGGCCGTAGCAATGCGAACCGGTGGTGTGGAGGGAGTAAAAAAGCGCGCCGCGCCAACGTGGTCAGTTCAGCCTGCAGATGCTCATTCTGGCCAGGGGGCATCACTGGGGAGTGGGCACGTGGGGGAATTCCTGCGTGGGAGATTTTCCGGAAGCCTCCTTGGACTTCCTGAGCAGGCTGCGCAAACGCCCCCCCCCCGCCATGCATACCACCCCTGCCCCGCCGCAGAACGCGGAGTTTCGCAGGGAAACGAACAGGAGGGGAGGGTGGGGCTAGCCACCGCCAGCTGGAGGAAGACCCACGCGTGATGGATCCACTTTGCTAGGCCTTCCCCAGCGAGGGGAGAGCGCGCTGCCTGTGGAGGGAGCCCCTGTGAGATTTCCTGGTAAAGCACTGGACGGACTGCCTTCTGAAGTGGGTGGCTGGACCCAGCTAAGGCTTATGGAGGCCTTTGGGGGGCGCACTGCACCCCTTTGGGGCCAGAGGACTGACTGGAAGCGGCTTGCAGGTGCCCAGAGCCTGCCTCCAGGTCCAGCATCCCGCCCTCCGCCGATCCTTCACTAGCCCCACCAGTGCGCCCAGGACCTGTGGAGGGAGAGGGCTTCCTAGGACTCATTTAATTTGTCACATTTATACAAGCGCTGGTCAGCCTGGCCATTAGGAGGTGCAGTGATGGGGAGATGGGCAGGGCAGTGCTGGGCGGGAGCAGCAGCTCTGCCTGGAAACTGGGCTGCGCATTGCCTCCCGTGACTCACCCAGGAATGTCTGGAGGAGAGGGGATTTGCTGCCGGCCAAGGGCAGGGCTTTGGCTGGCCTGTCTGCCTGCCTTACCCGTTTCACACACACACACACACACACACCGCTGTTGCTACTGCCCACCACCCACCCACTCCAATTTGGAAGACACCATGGGGGAAGGGAGGATGGGGAGGACAAGCTGTTCCATCTTGGCAAAAGCCCCTTGCTCCTTGGATTGGCCAGAGTGGCTGCCCAGGGCTTCTGGCCAGCTTTCCACGCCAACAGCTACAGTAAAACCCTGTGGAGCCAGCCCTGCGTGGGGTCAGCTGCCCACCCACTCAGGGAGGGAAGCGGCAAGTAGGTGGCATTGTCCTGCGCTGGCTCAGCTTGGAGTGGCCGTCCAGGGAGAGCTGAAGAGGTGGGCAGAGAAGGGTCCCCAAAGCCAGCCTGCCCTTTCCCAGAAGGTTTGGCCTGAGCCACAGAGCCACATGGGCAGGGCTCTCCCCACGCGCAGGCAGCCACTTCCTTGCCGGGCCTAGTGGGAAAGAAGCCTGGATTCAGCACTTGTGGACCTGTGGCCAGCTTTGGCTACTGCTATGGGAATGTGGTGTGTGTGTGTGTGTGTGTGTGTGGCCAAGCATCGCTCTGGACCCAAAGCCTTTGGCCTCAGCAAACGCCGTGCCCCTCCCCCGCTGGCATTTTAGACATCCTTGAAGAACTAGCTCTTCAGCCGGGGCCTTTGGCAAGCGGGATCAAAGCCCCCCCCCAAATGTGGGCTTGCTCTGGTTGTCTGATTTGTGCCATCTTTCATTCTTGTTATTTTATTGCTCTGGATGTTTTCATCCGTGAACAGCATCAGGCCGTGAACAAATACAAGAAATAAATACATTTCAAGTTGGAGTCCCATAGAAACGGCGGCGTAGGTCAGTGTCTGGACTTCAACTCCGAGAATTCCCCAGCCGGCAGAGTAGAGCCGGCTGAGGAATTCTGGGAGTTGAAGTCCTTACACCTTAAAGTGGCCGAGGTTGAGAAACATTGGAGTAGGTAGCACATCTGTGACTTCCCAACTTTTGAATATCTGTTGATGAGCCCCCCAGAGTTTGGTATAAGATGGGCACCTATATAAATGTTACAAATAAATAAAATTTATTTCTGTTTTCTTGCGACCCTTTCCTAGTGCTGGTTCATGTATCAGATCAATGCTTATACCGAGACCTTTTTCATAAGTGATCCAGATACCCTGCATGGTACTGTTTTGTGACTCAAGTGTTGCATTTGTTTAGTTGCACACAATCCTGCTATTTTCACTCAGATCTTTTCTTGGTTTCCTGCTCCCACTGGTCTTCTAAGGAAGGTGCTGCACACCCCGATTTGTTCATGAGATTTATTTGTTTGTTTCATATTTCTTAAACACCCCAGCTCCCTTGGGGATTACTCCATCTCTCTCTATTAATAAAATTGCAGAATGGAAGATTTTTGCCCTGGGCACGACTAGAAGACCTCGGAGGACCCTCCCAACCCCGGATTTCGCCACCCTTCTGTGGCAGGCTAGGTTTGCTGGCTTGTTGCGACCTTGCCACACATGTTAATGTCGCTCGCTCCCCTATAGACGGGGATGTCATTTTTTGCAGGCGCCCTGGGTGAGGCGCTTGGATCGCACCTAAGTAGTCCGCTGATCGGACGCTCCGCATTTTCTTACGAAAGCCCAGCAGGGCCATGACACGGGTGTAGACCAATCAGAAGCCCACTGGAGCCGGACGCCGCCCAGCTGCTCCGCCCGAGGCAGGCAGCGGCGCGTGGTGCGCGGGAGGGCAAGGCAGCCCCCTCCGTCCCGAGGGGCGTCCAGCCAGCCGCCCGGGGGGGAGGGGCGCGAGGGCGGCGGCGCTGGCCCTTTAAGCGATCTGCGCAGTCATCGCCCGCCCGGCCAGGACTGCCAAGTCACCGGGTTCAACTCAGTCCTCTCGGCCACCCCCCTCGAGAGCCCTGATTGGCCTGCGGCCGAGGACAGCTCCACTTCCGATTGGGCTCCGCACTTTGCAACAACTTCTCGGAATCTTGCCTACGTCACTGAGCTGGAATTCTTAAAGCTGCAGTGCGCGCGGAGGGGGCGCGGCGCGGGCGCCCGGGGAGCCTTTCGTGGCGCGCGCAACAGGGGCCCGGCGCAGAAGGGGCGGCCTCCCAAGGCGGGATCGAGCTCCGCTCAGCTCTCTGGGCCGCGCCGCGCGCCTCGGGAGGCCGCGGTCTGCGAGTCAGGAGGCGCCCGCGGGAACTGGGGGAATCTCGCCCCTTTAAGGCCCTCTCCCGAGCGGGAGAAAATGCCAACTCACAGTGGCGCTGGGCATGACGGGAGGGCGCGGGTGAAGCGAAACTACATTTCCCAGCAGCCTCCTCCCCCCCCCTCGCCAGGGAAAGAAAAGGGCTCCCTGCCGCGGATCTGGCCAGCGGCTCTTGCCAAGCCCCAGCCGGGCAGCCGGGCCGTCAATCATCGCGGGCGCATTCGCGCATTGGCTGCTGTGCGCGGGAGGGGGCGGGAAGGAACCGCCTCCGCCTCGGCCCATTGGCCGGTCCGACCGCCAATCCGAGGGCGGAGCGGCCGGGCTGCCATTGGGCGGCCGGCGAGGCGGCCAGCTGATCAGAGGCAGCGGCAGCCGGTGAGCGAGCGTGGCGGCGGCGGCGGGCAGGGCAGGCGGCGCCGGGACCGGGGCGGTGTCTCCGGCGGGCCGGCCGAGCGGGCACAGTCTCCTCCGGCGGATGGTAGCGGGCCGGCCGGCGGCGCCGGGGCAACGCGAAGCCGGGCGTCGAAGAGGTGGCACCCGCGGCCGGGTCACCTTCCGCCTCTCCTGGCAGCCGCCGCCGCCGCGCCCCCTTCCCGATTGGGGCGCCCGGGGGAGCGCAGGGCGCTCGGGGAAAGCGGCGCCCGCGAGGCTCCCGTCTGCAGCCCGGGGTCCCGGGGCGGCCGTCCGGCCTCGGCGTCCTCCGAGGGAAGGGAGCGCGCCCCCTCGCCGCCCCGAAGAAACTTTCTGCAGCGCCCGCGCTGGGCTGGAGGCTTGGCTGTCGCGCCTGTCGGTGGCCGCGGCCGGGACGCCCCTGCTGCTGATTCATGCCTCGCAGCCGGCGGCGGGCGGGGCGGGGCGGGGCGGAGCGCCTGCCCGTCCTTGGGCCGAAGTTCAGCGCTGCCGGAGGGGCCGGCAGACGGCTGGAATGCGGAGCATCCGGAGCAGGCGCGCGGGGAATGCGCGTCGGGGTGAGCGCGGCCCTGCCAGGGCTCCCCTCCCCGTTACGCGCGGGCGGCGGGTCTCCCCGGAGCCCCAGCGGGTCCAGGGCTGCGGAGGAGCCCCGAGACCGGCACCTTCTGCGATGACTCAGGCGGGCGGCGTCTGGGGCGGAAGCGGTCGCTGGTCTCTCTGCAGGTTGGGGAGGCGGACCCGGCCCCTTCCCTCCGCTCTAACGGCGCCCCCCTTGCCCCCCAGCCTGGCGCTCCGGCCCCCTTGGCTGCCGCGCAGCAGTTCTTCGGTGGCACGCTTTACGTCCCCTCCAGCAACTAAAGCTGCCAGTTGAAGAACTGTTGGCCGTAGCTGCTCTCGCCCAGGGCCGGCCGGCCTGCGCATGGATGGATGGATGGAGGCAGCCCGGGCCCTACAGCTGGACCAGTCCCCGACAGGTAAGCCGGCCTGCTGTCCTCTCCTTCTCCAGAGCTCCCCACACCCACACCGGATTTCCAGGGCTCTCCAGCCGGCCCTTTCGGAGACCGGCCTCGTTGGACAGCTGCAAATGGGCGGCTGCTGCGTTGCCCCATGGCCCACCCCGCCCAGTCAGGCCTTGGCCTGTTGCCTCTGCCCGTGGCTTCCCCACAGGCCCGGTCAGAGCTCGGCTCTGTGGATCAGTGTGGGGCCTGGGTGGCTGCTCTCTTGGCCAAAGAGCTTGGCCTCCTTTCCTTCTGCATTCTTTGGATCTCTTCGTTGCTGGGCAGAGGCCTGGGGCTTTCAACTGAACCTGTCTCCCCCCCCCCCAGATCTCCCTCTGGAGCTGCCAGTGGGACCCTCAGAGCCCCTTTGCCCCATCACAGCAGCAGCAGCTGAGGAGTGAGGGGCAGCTGCTTCCTCTTGCTGACCGGAAGCGCACGATGGGTTTAGCCAGTTGATCCCTTGCTGCACCCTGGTGCTCACTCTGATTCCCAGGCCAGGGCAATACAGGAAGAGGCAGGTTTTGCTGGGTGGGGCTGAGAGGAAACGGGGGTGTGTGTGATCCTGTTTCCCCATCTGCCCAGCATTGGGGGGGCTCCAGGACCTAGGCAGGAGCCTGTAAGCCAAATTGAGACAAGAGAAGTGGTCCTGGCCCATCTCTGCCTTTTCCTGTGTCCCCAGACAACCTTTGGGGGGGGGCAGGAGGGCAGAGGATAGACTTCCCTGACATTCAGGAGTCGGTGCCCTCCAGCCTGTGGAGCAATGCCAGGATGGTCACTCCATCTGCCGGCCGAGCATGGAACTGCTGGGCTGTGGAAGCTGGTGGCCAAGGGGAGTGCCTTGAGAGGGCTGCTGTGGCTGGGGGGATTCTGGCTCTGCCTGGGATTCGGGGGAGGGTCCCTGCTTCCTTCATTCTAAGCCAGGAAGGAACATAGAGCGTGCATGGACAGGAACAGCTTTCACAACCTTTCCTCTGCCCCCCCTCCTTGGGGCTTGGTTGCTCCTGGTCCATCTGGCCCCCAATTCCCCCTGCAGCGGGATTGCCCCCAGGACCGCAGGTACAAATGACGTGGTCTCTTCATTGCTTTTAGCCTCTTCCTTAACAGAGAAAGGGTTTGAGAAGTGGGCTGTTCCAGCCGGAGGGAGTTGGAAGTGACCTCCAATGGGCCATGCGTCTGGCACCTTCCCCCCCCCCCCAGCAGAGCTTCCTAGCCTTGAAGATGGATGGACTTCAACATGACTGGCTGGGGGATTCTGAGAGTTAAAGAAGTCCGCATATCTTGGGGGTGCTGCCTTGGAGCCTCGAGGCCCGAGCAAAGCTGAAAGCCTGCTGGTGGTCAGCGGCCCCAGCTCAAGTTTCAGAAGAAAGGGAACGAAGTTGCAATTTTCTTGACCTCGGTTTATTTCAGCCCGATGAGGGGATGCGTCTGCCTGTGATCCCCAAGCAGTGGGCAGACTATTGGGGTGGCTCTCTCTTTGGCAGCTCTTTGGCCTCCATCATGGTCCTGCAAAGATAACACTTGGCTCAGGGGAGGCCAGGACAAAGAGCCAAAGGGCTGGCAGTGGGGAGGGGGAACTTACTCTGCCTCTTGCTTGGAGATGCGTCTCCCCGAGTATAGGGTCTCAGCTACCACGGCCACCAGGGGGTCACAGTTCAGGCTGGCCACTGCGGTCACCCAGCCATCCCTGGGGGAGGAGAGATATCAGAGGGGGAACCATCTCCCTGTTGCCGGGGAAGGGGGAGGGGTGCAGAGCGCCCCAAAAGTTGACCGAGGGGCAGTTGCTTTCTCCCCAGCCCCTCCCTCTGGCCGTAGCTGACTGCGAGGACTTGGTCACCGCTAAGCAGAGTTCCCCGTCTGCCCTCACTGGCACGGGTGGGGCACAGATGCTGTTCCAGGCGAGGTCACCGTCATTCCCGCAGGAAGGAGGGTTACAGTACGGGAGTCCTCCGGCTCCCTCCCAAAAGGCCTTGCCCAGAATCCGCTTGTCTTGCTCTGGAGAGCCAGGTGGGCGGTTTGCCTCTCCGGCTCCTCTCACCTCAGGTAGAAGAGGAGGAAGCTCTCCTGGCCCAGGTCACCTTCCGGCACCGTCTCCGTGTGGCCCGTCCCGTAACCTGAGAAAGAGAGGGGGGGGCTCCAACTCTGGCCGAGCAACTCTGGAAGTCTCCCTGGCCTGGGAGCTTCCAGCTTGGACGTCTCGCTGCCCTGTCAGGATGACCCCAGCCCCCCCCCCAGTCCCCCAGGCTGTACCTGCATAGCGGATGGTCTTTGACTGCAGCTTGGTCCAAAAGAAGGGCACCGTGTGGAGCGGCCTCTGCCTGGACAGCATGTTCAGGGCCGCCACGCGTCCTGGGCAGGAGAGAGACAGACCGTCTGCCCCCCTTGTGGGACAAGGAACCCAGGAAGCTGGCTGGCTCAAGCGCTTGGAAGGCCTGGGAGGAGGGGGGGGGCAGGGACTAAGCCAGGCCCATGCAGAAGGGTCGGCAGAGAGTGCAGCCCTGGGCTCAGCCGAGTCTCCCTGCGCCACACATGGAGAGACCCAGCCCAGCCTCGCTCTGGGACTGCAGGGGCCGGAGGGCTTCGCCTGTCCCCTGCTCCCCTGCGCTTGAGCCAAGGTTGCCCCCGAGAGGGTCGATGATGGCTGAGTGCCCCATTTGGACAAGCCCCCAGCCGGGGCTGGTTCAGGGCCCAACCAGACCCGTGATCTGCTCTTTTTCTGGGACCCACAAGCCACCCTTTTCAGCTTGGGGTGGGATTGGCTGCCGCCGGTTGGGCCCCCTCTGCCCCATAGCCAAAGTCTAGCTCGAAAGAGGGGGGTACCATGGGCTTGGGCAATCTGCCAGTGGTAGATGGGTGTGGACTTGCCACCAGCCAGAGCCACAGGAAAGGAGGCCACGTCCCCAGCAGCAAAGACAGACGGAGCGCTGGTTTTCATGAACTGGAAGGGAGCAGAGAGTCAGTGCATATGGGGGGGGCACTACCTCAGGGTGGACCCACCCCTGCTTACCAGGTCCACCAGGATGGACCCTGTGCGGTCAAGCTTGATGGAGCTTCCCTGGACAAAACTGGTATTTGGAGTGTTGCCTGCAGAGAGGAAGTGGAACTGTCAGGCCAGTGATCTCACGCCGGGGCTGGCCCCCCTCCCCTCAAGATCAGATGGATGTCTTTATCTATGAGGAAGCTGCAAGAAAAGCCCTGCCCCCTCCAGATGTGCCCAGCTGCAGCCCTGGGATCCCCAGCTGGTGGGCAAGAGGCAGGAGCAGAGCCCTCTGTGCCCCTGCCTTTACTGCTCCCCCTGGTGGCCAGAAGAGGAAATGCTGGCCCTGTTCCATGCTGGTCAAAGACCATCGGAAATAGGAAGCAGCTCCTTCTGCAGAAGGCGCTCCTGCCCCTTTCCCCTCCCGACAGCCTCCCTCTGTTTTCCCCCTTTTTTAGTGTGAACATGGTGCCAAGGCGCTGCCAACTCACCAATGCCCACCACCACCAAGTCCGCAGGGAGAACAGAACCATTGCTAAGAATGACGTTGGTGACCTGGGAGGGAAAAGAAGGCAGATGCAGCAGTTCTCCCCCATCCCTTCTGTAGACCTGGCCTGCCAGCCTCTGGGGCAGTGGGGGGTGGGGGCGTGTCTCAGACCTTCCCATTCTCTCCCTGCATCTGGGCCACATCTGTCTTCAGGTGGAACAGAACTCCCTGGGCTTCGAGCATCTGGAAGGGAGGGAAGGATGGATGGATGGATTATTCTCCTTGCTGCACTGCCATTGTCCAGTCACATCTCTGGGGCTGCTCCAAGAAACCTCTCTAGGGGGGACCTAGAAGGGGTTTTGCTGAGCCCGGGAGTGCTTGAACCAAATCGGGACTTGTGCCCACCACATGTTTGCATTGCTCGGGCTTTGTCCCTGTGACACCATCTTCCTGTGCTGGCTACAATTAAAAAAAAAGCAAACTATAGATGTTGTTCCGGCAAAACATCCAAGATTTCCTGCCTAAACTCGACTATAAGGATCGGCCTATGAGGAGGTGCCCCTGGGGAGAGCCTCGGGGGCGGGGGGCTTCCCAGAGAGCAGCCCTCGCTGCCCTGGGACTGCTTGCCCTTCCCTACCTTCATGGCCACGGTGCCCACCTGACCTCCCAGGGTCAGCTGGTAGGGCCGCTCTTCCTTCTCCACCACCTGGACCTGGGCTGCTTTGCCAACCAGGTTGCCGGCTACCTCCATCCCTGTATGGAAGGAAGGAAGGCTGGGAGCTGAGAGGATGCTGGCATGAAAAGTTGGGGGAGGGGCGGAGAGCCCCCACTCCTTCTAGCTCAGAGCTATGGGCGCAAATGAATCCAGAGTCTCCGTACCAATGAAAGAGGCTCCCACAATCACCACGGTCTTGCCCAAGGCCCAGGCCAGGATCCAGTTGGCATCTTCAGGGGTGAGGAGTGTGCAGACATTCCCCAGGCTGCAGCCCGGGCACTGGAGCTTCCGAGGGCTGGGCAGGGAGAGAAGCCCATCAGAGCCCTTGCCTGGGTCACCCCCTCTGCTCCCCCCACCCCCGGGCAAGACTTCAGTTGCCATCATTTACCTACAGCCCGTGGCAATCAGCAGGCTGCTGTACGCCTGGGATGTCCCATCCCGGAAGTGGGCCATTTTTCCTGCGGGATCCACAGACACCACCTGCAGCCGGATGAGAGCCAGGCTAGATGCACACGGGGTGGGCAGATGCCCAGGTGAAACCCTGCCCCCCATGCAGGCTGACCCCAAGCCAGCAGCAGACTCAAAGGAGGTCTGGATGGTCCAGCACTGAGACAATTCCTTCCGGTGGCCCCTGTGCTGGCTTTTGGCCATGTGCTACCGAGCTGAGACGGGATCCATGAGGTAGGGGCACAGCGGACAGATCTTCCCAAAGGTGGGCTTCCTTCACAGAGCAGGGTGGGCATTTCACGGTGCAGCTGTTTTCTCCTCTGAGCTTCGGGCTGGGCCAGCTACTTGCCAGGGGGAGGGGGACATAAAGCCCCAAGGGGAGGTTGAATCGTGCCAAGCCATCCCCACCCACCTCTCTCTGCTTCCAGACCTCAATGTTGTGGGCATCCAAGAAACTCTGACTTCGCAGATAGAGGCTCTCTGCTGGAGCACCCAAGTCCTACAAGTCCAGAGGAGAAGCAAGGTTTATGGGCTGGGGGCTTCCCAGTGCCCAGGCATGGGGAACCTGGGGCCCTTTCAGCAATTGGGAGCATCCAAGAGGAGGGGGAGATAGACATCCCCCTTCTTCCTCCCTCCCACTTTTGCTCTTGGGGCTATCCCGGAGGCTTGTGAGGGGAGGGGTCCCCCTTCTGGACCTCCATGCACTTTCTTGGGCCAGTTCCCTCTCCGATGGCTGCTTTCAAAGCCCAGAGGGTTGTCCCCCTCCCCTTCTGAGCAACGGCCCTCCCCCTGCACACCCCTCAACCAAATGCCCCCCCATGCCAAGGTAAGTCCCGTCCCTCCCCAGCCCAGACCTGGGTCAACTTTGTCTTGTCGTAGGGAAGGTGGTTCTCCCAGGTGGCCATGATGATCCTGCCGGTGAAGCCCTCTTGCCGAAGAGTTTCAGCGCAGGTCAGGGCTGCCGGGCCTGTTGGGGTGGGCAGGAAGAGAGCCGGTCCAGCTCTGCCCTGGACCTTGGCCTGGCTTTGCCCTTCCCTCCCTCCCTCCCCCTCCCACCGGCTCACCTGCTCCCAGCAACAGAGCGGTCTGGTGGTCCAGCTGGCACTCCCTGGCCATGGGCTTCACTCTGCGGCCACTTTCAAGATCCTGCCAGGGAGGGAAGGAGAGGGAGGAAAGCGGGGTGGGGGGTGGGGTGGGGAGATGCCCTGCAGTCCGTTGTGTCAGGCGGGGAGACCACTTACCTTCAGCCTGGCTGAGACGTACACCTGCCCTTCCTTCACGGTTGCCTGCAAACAGCAAGGGGCTGTCCTGAGAGGCCCACGGGGGGGGGGGGCTGTGCCAGGCCGTCAGGGGAGTCCCGAAGTGGCTCTTCTCTTGCACCCTCCCCCCTCCAAGCAGTGGCCTACGAGCCCCAGAGAGCCCTTTCTGCCGCCTAGGAGGGGAAGGCAGAGGAGCCATTGGTCCTGCTGTGGGGACGGAGTCCCCCAATCCTCTCCCCCCCCCCCGTCCAAGCTGCCCTGCTGATCCCCGGCCTGACCCCTCCCTATGAGAAATCCCCCCTCCCCACAATGGGTGGGATTAGCTCCAGCGCCCTCTTTCTGTGTCACTGCTTTGCCCGCCAGCTTGGCTGGTGCCTGGCTTGGCTGAGCTCCATTTTGCTGGAACTGGAAGGCAGCTTTGTCCAGCGGCAGTTGGCTCAGGGCAGGGGTGTCAAATTCGCAACATCACAACTTTTTTCCCACTGCCAGCAATGGGGTGGGCGCAGTGTCGCTATGCTGCATCCGGCCCGCAGTCCGGCAGTTCGACACCCCTGGTCTAGAGGTTAAAGGGCCAGGTTAGAAAGTGGGAGACCGTGAGTTCTAGTCCTGCGTTAGGCATAAAGGCTGGCTGGGTGTCTTTGGACCAGTCCCTCTCCCAGGCCGGCCCACCTCACAAGGTTGTTGCTGTGGGGAAAAGGAGGTGGGAGGTGCCTTGGATATGTTCTCTGCCTTGAGTTATTTGTAAAAATAATAAAGGTGGGATATAAATAACATCTGCTCTTGAGTTATTATAAAGGTGGGATATAAATATAATATCTGCCTGCGTCTTGGGCCCCAGCGGGGTCTTTTTATTCTGCCCAGGCTACAGAACCGTGCCAAAGGGGTTAAAGGAAAGCAGTGGGCTGGGCACACAGGGGTGGGGAGAGGGGCAGCCTGTGGTGCCCCACCAGGATGGCATGCAACCCCAGTGGGCCTAGGCCTGAGGGCGCACTCACAAGGGCAGGTGGCGTTGGCAGGAGCTGCCCTGCTGCTCAGATCCTAAAGGGCTCAGCAGTGGCAACCTGTGTGGCTCCTTTCTCACCTTAAGGGATCCAGAAGCATCCATCGCCCCCCAATAAAAAGAGTCTTTGAGAGGCTGCCGGGGAAGACCCCTCCCCCAAGAACAGTGTATGAAAGCTTCTCGGACCTGGGACCCCACATTCCCCTTTGGGGAGTGTGGGGGCAGGCAGAGTTCAGACGTACTTGGAAAACAGACAGACAGTCCAGGGTGGGATATTCTTCAATGTCGCCAGTCTTGGTGCTGAAGCAGGCACCGTGCCAGGGGCAACGCAACCGGCCCTTTACCAAGTAGCCTGAAACCCAGAAAAAGAGACCCACGGGGGGGGGGAGCAGTGTCCATTGAGAAACCTTGGGCATGCAATGCGCCCAAAGGCAGCCGAGACTGCCAGAGCTGAAAAGAGGCAGCTACGGGCACCAGCCCTCCGCAGCGAGGCCAGTATAGGGCCGCAAGGGGTGCGAGTGTTGCTCTTGAAGCCCAAGGCCTCTCCGGGATCCCCAAGAAGGGGCAGGGCTGGAAGGGAGCAGCCCCTCGCCATGGGCAGAGCCTGGATCCAGAGCACCCAAACCCAGGCCTTTGCTTAGTATGACAAGGGCCCCACCCTCCCTTGTTCCCAGCCCAGAGGAGGCTGCACAGTGGGGGGAGGACTCACCTTTGCAGAGTGGGGCTCCGGCATGAGGGCATCTGCCGCCCAGCGCTCGGAGGTCCAGGCCCTCCCTCACCAGCAGCACTGGGCATCCAGCCACCTCGACCTCCCGCATCCTGCACCAAGGAGAGGGCAGAAGAGCCTTGGCCCAAGAAGCCTTTGCTAGGCTCCTAAAAAGCCCCCCAGACACAATGGATGGGGGGGAGTGGAGGAAATGCTGGTGATAACAACATAACAGCATTGAGTCCCCCTGCACCTGGTTGGAAGCCCTCCCCCCCCCCCGCCACCTTGTAAAAGCAAGAACTGGGAGGTTTTCTCAGAGGATGAAAAAAAGGGGGTGTCTCTTAGAAATGGACCAAAGGAGACACATTTCACACATGGCTAAGAAATAGCAGTCCCCCCCCCAACAAGAGAAAGCCCTGGCTGAAAGCCCCCTCTCCCCTCCCCCCCCACCACAAGGCCTTGCAAGGGCTGCCTTGGGAGCCCAGAGGCTGCAGAAGAGCCTCCGTCCTGGGGCTGGCCCTGATCATCCATTCCGAAACTGCCATCAGCTGCACCCAGGCGGGTAGGAGGGAAGCACCCTCCGGGTTCCCAAGGGAGGCTCTGAAGGACAAGCCGGGTCCTCTTGGCCCAGGCCCCGGCAGCCTTCCAGGCATTCGGCTGCCTCTGGAGGCGACAGGCTGAGCCCAGCCGAACTGAAGGGCCAGGAGCATAGTCCCAGCCAGCCCCACTGACTCGCCTGGGAAGCAGGAGGGCTGGATCTCAGGGCAGGGAAAGGGTGTGGCCATGAGGTCATCCTGGACCTCCCCCCCACCACACAGGGGCCTCTCTCTGACCCTGAGGAGGCTCCCCTCAACTGGCTGGGAGGCTGACCCAGTCGCCAGCCTGCAGCCCTGTGCATGCCGGCGTTGGCTCCTCCTTCACCCCTTGTGCAAGGAGAGGGGCCCCATGCCCCGTTCTGGCCCCGGGGATGCGGACTTACTCTCCGTCATGGAGCTCATCTTCGCGGCAGACATGCTGGGTGACCAGAGTGTCTGCTCCATCCATCTTCTGGGCTGAGACTGGAAAGAGAGAGGGAGGGGGAGGAGGAGGAGGAAGTTGGGGGTACCTACTAACATCCCCCCTCCCCTCCCAGGGGACCCTCCGCAGCAGCTGCAGGTCTGCATGGCGCCTTGGAAGTAGCAGAGAGCCTCCTGGCCAGGGAAGAGTTCCTCACAAAATCCCCCCCCTCCCTTCCTACCACCAGGCCGAGCACTGGGGCAGGCAGAAAGACTCCCCCCCCAAAAAAAGATGAGAGCTCCTCAGCCGGAAGGAAGTCTTCTTGGCTGTCAAGAGAGGATGCTGCCTTTTCTGGGGCCAAGTGCAGGAGTTGCCTTTGCAAGCACAGCGAGAGAGGAATAGAATAGAATAGAATAGAATAGAATAGAATAGAATAGAATAGAATAGAATAGAATAGAATAGAATAGAATAGAAAAAAAATAGAATGGAATATGATAGGATAAGATAGAATAGGATAGGATAGAATAGAATAGAAAATAGAATAGAATATAGAATATAGAATAGAACAGAATATAGAATAGAATAGAAAATAGAATAGAATAGAATATAGAATAGAATATAGAATATAGAACAGAACAGAATAGGAATAGAATAGAATAGAATAGAATAGAATAGAATGACAGAATAAAAAATAGAATGGAATTATAAGATAGGATAGGATAGAATAGGATAGAATAGAATAGAAAATAGAATAGAATATAGAATAGAACAGAATAGAATAGAATATAGAATAGGATATAAAATATAGAACAAAACAGAACAGAATAGAACTGGAAGAGACCCTGGAGGTCTTCTAGTCCAGCCCCCTGCTCAAGCAGGAGAACCTATGCCATCTCAGAGAGAGTTGTTGCCCCATTTGTGCCACCTGAGGAACTCTTTGCCAGGCAAACTCAACCACACCTCTTATCTGTAGTTAAGCCCTGCCAGAGGCGGACAACCCCCACCCCCACCCCCATGCTGCTTGGATCCCTACCATGAATAGCACACACAGATACTGACAAAGAGCTTGGGGGGGGTGATGGCTTGTCTTGTGGGTCTCCCCCCCCCCGTCTTCCCCAGCCCTGAGAGAGAAGGACTGGCCCGAGTCCCGCCACGGCTGGCTTCCTGGGGCTAGAATTCTGGGCCTCCCGGTTCCTAGCCTGGTGCCTTAATCACTAGGCCAAGGTGCCTCTCTGGGCTGATGCTTAAGAAGATCTAAACTTTACGGGAAATGTTAATTGACTGAAATGCAAACCCAATAAAGTCAGATGTGCTTTAGAGTCCCCACTCCCACCCCACCTGGGAAAAGGGGCGGGGAGGGGGGCCCTTCTGTAAAACAGCCTCATTTTCCCAGCCCCACCCAAGTCGCCAGCCTCTCCCCTCCCCACGGTGCTTGCCACAACCCGTGACCCCCCTCGCGGGGAAGAATTATCCACCTCACATCAAACAAATGCAATAAGGTCTGGCTCAGCCTCCTTAAGCTTGATGCGTCCTTCCTTCGCAATTCCCAGCCTGACAGGTTTTCCAGGCTGGGAATCCTGGGGGAGGGGATCATAGTGCAGCCCAGTGGGGCAGGGGAGGCCTTTTCAAGTCTAGAATCTGGCAGAACAGAGCTGAAGGAGGGTGGCTGCTTTCCCTCGCCAAAGGCAGGGCTGGTGAGGGGGTAGGTGGCTTTGTGGGTCCACCCAGGATGGCCCCTCGCGCAGGGTCAATAACTGCTCCAGTTGTTGAAGCGGCCTCTGCTCCATGCGCAGTGACCGTTCTTGGGTAGGAAAGGAACGGGGCTGCGCTGTCCCCTTTCAGCCCCCCCAAGCCCCCGAGGGATCAGGCAAAGAGCCTTCCTGAGCTGGACCCCACAACCCGTTAACTGACCGCTCCTCACAGGGTTGCCGCAAAGCTGGTAGGGGGAACTCAGCCCCCTTGGCGCCCAAGACAGAATGCCTGCCCATCCCCGCGGAGGGAGGCCTTCAGCTTCGAGAGCTGAGGGCTTCTGCTCTTCCGTCCTGGCCCGCCCGGAGGGGTGTCCCCGCCTGACCCACTCAGCCCAGGCTGACCTGTGCGACGGCAGCCAAGGCTCCCTGCGCCCCCCCCCCCGGTGCCAGCCCCTCGCCCATCCCCAGAGCAGCCGCCCCGAGGAGCCCAAACTCACCGGGGCTTGGCGTTGGCGCTGCCATCGGGAAGGGACACAGGGCGGCGGCGGCGGCGTCTCGGAACAGAAGAGGGGACGGGGCGCGCCTGCCAAGCAGCCCGTTCCTTCCTCGCGCATCCAACCTGGCGCCGCCCCCGAACTCGCTTGAAGTGGGCGGCCTGCATTTACTTATAAGCCGCCCGGCTCCGTCGGCGAGGATCCCGGCGACTCGCAGCCGAGGGGGGCCGGAGGGCAGCGTTGGGGCTCTGCCCACTCCCGCGAACCGGAGACCGCAGGGGTGGGACCGCAGAAGCGGGCCGCTTGCGGGGAACAGGCGAGGAGAAGACCTGACGCCGCGCCCGAGCTTTGCTGGCGAAGCTTGGAGGGTCTCCGCCCGGACACCACCCCCCCGTTCCGGGGCGCCCGCGCTGGCCAGTCTGGCTCGAGCCACCGAGCGGGGAAGCTATAACCGGGACTGCTGCCAGCAAGGGGAGCCCTGGCGACTCCCAGCAGCCGCGGAAAGGCGTCGGGCGGCCGCAACCTACACCGGCGGCGCGGGCTGGGGCGGCGCTCACGCCTCGGCGGTCCTGGGCAAAAGCAGCCGGCGGAACGGCTGACCGGGGAGCGGGTGGAGGGGGGCAGCTCCCGCCCGCTTTGGGGTGGGTAGCCGCCTGCAGTCCCGGGCAACCGCTTCCGGGGGTTCCCGGCAGCGCCACGCGGCCCCCTCCGCCTGGAGCCCCGGAACATGCGCTGCGAGCCGAGGCGGTCCCCGCGGCTCAGCTCCGTCCCGCCACCTGCTCCGGTGTCGCCCGATTCCTCGCGCTCCGAAGGCCGCCCGCGCATCCCGCCGGCCCGGCCCTGCCCGCCCTGCGGACGCCGCGGGGGTTGCCAAGCGGCGGTGCGCTACCCCGAGGCCGGGCCGGGCTTTCAGAACGGCCGCCGAAGCCCACCGCGCCGGCGTCGCGCTCCGGGCACTTCGCGGCGCCTGGAGTCTCTCAGCCGGCGCGGCGGGAGAGAGAGGCGGGAAGGCCGGCGGCTGTCCGAGGAGACCCTTTCCCCGGCGGGGGGGCCGTCGCCATGGAGACGGGGCGACGACGGAGCCAATGGCGGGCGCCGCCGGGGGACGGTTTGTCTGCCGTCACACCTCCGGCTCCCCCCCTGGCGGCTGCCCCTTTCCCGCCCGGCCCTCCGCGCTCTCGGCTCCCCGCCGCCCTCGGGCTTGCTGCGCTCCGCTGCGGGCGAGGGCGACTGGCGGGGCCGGCGGGCTCGGGGCTCGGGCAGTCCCGCGATGGATTTGCTGCTGCCGGGGGGCTCGATGGGCGCCTTTCGGCTGCTCAACACCGTCCTGGAGCGCCTGGTGCCGCCGCCCTCCCCGGCGCAGCCGGTCCGCTGGAAGTGGCGCAACATTTGGACGTCGCTGGCCCACAGCCTGCTGAGCGGCTCCTGGGCCCTACTCGGGTGGGTGGAGGTCGCGGTCGGGGTGGGCAGGCGGAGCCGCCCCGGGCGAGGACTCACAGACCCCCCCCCTTTCTCCGGCCGCAGGTTCTACTTCTACCCCCCGATGGGCGAGGATCTCATCGACCACTTCTCGCCTTCCGCGCACTGCTTGCTGGGGATCTCCATCGGTAAGTGCCTCTCCTGCCCCAGACCGTTCCCCGACCAGCCCCCTGCCCCCCCCCCGCCCGGGAAGAGGCAGAGCGGGAGCCGGGAAAGGAAAGCGCCGCCGCCGCCGCCGCCGCCGTTTAGTTTCGGCTTGCTTGAAAGGGCTCCTGCGATGCAGGGACAGCGCTAAAGCAGAGAAGCCCCCCCCCCCGATCCTGTGGCCAGTAACACCCCTCTTCTCCTGCTGGATGGGGAGGGGGCAGCCGAGCTCCACGTTGTCGGCCCTGGAGAGCACCTCCACACTTCTGTGTTGGCATCTGGCGGAGGAGGCAACTGGTGCCAGCCAGCCCGTCGTTCCCTTCCTTGCATGTGACCGCGGGGGCACACAATCGCTCCATTTTTCTGCTCCGTGGCAGCCACTGCTGGCCGTGATGGCCCCTGCCCCTTCCTCTTGAGGGAAGCTTACAGCTCGGTCTCCCTTTCGTTCATCTGTGCTCCCCAATGCCCCCCCCCACACACACACACATTAAGTGCGGCAAAGGATCGTTCAGTAAACTTTACCCCTTCAGGCGGGTTGGACTGGGGTTCCCAGGAATTCTCGACAATATCTGGAGGAGGCATGGTGCAGAAAGAAACACACACACACCCCCTTCTTCAGAACAGCAGGTGAGGTGGGGATAAACCACCAATTGCTCTTCCCTTTTGGAAGCTGGATCTGGGTCAGGTAATGAGGTGATGAGGAGAGAGAGCCAGAGCGGTGACTGAGAATAGGATAGGATAGGAACAGAATAATTGGAAGGGATCTTGGAGATCTTCTAGTCCAACCCCCTAAACCCTATACCATTTCAGACCAATGGTTGTCCAATCTCTTCTTAAAAACTTCCAGTGTTGGAGCATTCACAACTTCTGGAGGCAGGTTGTTCCACTGATTAATTGTTCTAATGGTCAGGAAATTTCTCCTTAGTTCTAGGTTGCTTCTCACCTTGATTTGTTTCTATCCATTGCTTCTTGTCCTGCCTTCAGGTGCTTTGGAAAATAGCTTGACTCCCTCTTCTTTGGGGCAGCCACTGAGATATTGGAAGACTGCTATCATGTCATCCCTCGTCCTTCTCTTCATTAAACTAGACATACCCAATTCCAGCAATTGTTCTTTATATGTTTTAGTATCTAGTCCCCTAATCATCTTTGTCGCTCTTCTCTGCACTCTTTCTAGAATCTCAACATCTTTTTTACATCGTGGTGACCAAAACTGGATGCCATATTCCAAGTGTGACCTTACCAAGGCCTTGTAAAGTGGTATTAACACTTCATCTGAGCTTGATTCTATCCCTCTGTTAATGCAGCCTAGCACTGTGTTGGCTTATTTAAGTGATGGTCCACTAAGACTCCGAGATCCCTCTCTCAGATGCTACTATTCAATGAGGTACCACTTCAGTCTGCTGCACCTGTCTCTGGTATTGCACATGGATCCTCCCGCCCCCCTCCCTAAGCGAAGGGAGGCATTCGAAGGGAGTCCCACCTGTCAGCTCAGCCTACACTAGTCCCCAGTTACTGCTCTGCTGGAGGAGCATTATGCACTGAGAAATGGCAGAGGGCCCCTCCCTTTCCCTTGCGCTTCACTGTGCACCCCCTCAGCCCCCCCCCCCCGTCAGCTGGGGCGGACATGGCTCAAGAGTGCTGGCAGCGGCCACTCAGGGGAAGGGCTGGGTTTTCTTGCTGCTCAAGTAGAGGCGACTCACCCCTGGAGATTTGCTGGGAGCCCTTTTCCCTTCAGGCTGGATGCCCGGACAGACAAGGGGGGGGGAGGACACGACCCTAAGATCCTTTTCCTCTTTTGCTGTTTAAAAGTTTTCCATACAGTCTTTCCTGGCTTAGGCAACGTTACAGTATTAGGGGCAGCCCAGACCCTACAATGACAACACCATTCCGCCCCTGAAGAAGAGCAGGTAAAATGACCACCTACTGATGGACATTTCTAGCAGTAAAACCAGAATCAGTCTCTGACATGTCCAGATGTGCAGGTAACAATCATCACTGTTGGACACTTGCTGCTTGATTGGTGTGTATTTGGTTCCTAGTTAAATTTTCCTGGGTTTTGCTGGAGTGGAGTAAAACTTTATTAAGGTGATGCTTCAGGATGTTTACAAACACCTAAATGTGTATTTATGCTATTGGTTACATTTGCAAATGTGTGCACATGCATGTCTATTTTCTGATTAAAATTTGCATGTCTTTAACTGTTACAAAAGGTATTTGAATCCCTATAGGATTAAGTTTCGGGTGAGGATTAAGTTAATCCCTCTGAGGCTGCTAGGATTTAAAAAGTTTTTTTCCCCATTTCAGGAAATGATTTAAAACTGCAGAGAAAAAAAACCATTCAGAAAAGGGGGTAAATACAGGCTGTTGCTACATTTTAGAGACTTCTTTTACTGAATTCAAGGTGTAATTTTAAAACTCCACAAAAAATTAAAGCATCATTAGTCTATTATTTATTTCACAGTGCACAAAATAGGACTTGCTTCCCCAGTTCAGTGGACTCTAGAGTTCAGTCAATCATTCCCTCACTTCTGGTTTGAATCCATATGGAATTGAGCAGAGGGCTGGACTAGAAGACCTCCAAGGCCCCTTCCAGCTCTTTTCTATTCTATTCTATTCTATTCTATTCTATTCTATTCTATTCTATTCTATTCTATTCTATTCTATTCTATTCTATTCTATTCCATTCCATTCCATTCCATTCCATTCATTAGAATTAGGGCTAGGTTTAGGCTAATTGTGTGCTTGGGGTTGTCACCCTTTCCCTGATGGGAACCGATTCAGGGTGTCAGGTGTGGTGGCCATCTGGACCTGGGGGCTCCAGCCTCAGCAGAGAGGGGCTGCTGTGCACAGAGAGTCAGGAGCAGCAAGAATCGAGACCCGGTGATTGATGCCTGCATCCCAGGGGATTTGCCTATTTGGATGATGTCCCTGGTTGAACAGATATACTACATTTACAGTTTACATTATTACTTTATTTATATGCTGCCTTAATAATTTTTAAATAACTTAAAGTAGCCAAGGTTGAGAAAGACTGCCTTAGGCTGCGTTAGCTAAAGATCTCCCTATGTCTATAGCGCCTAGAGCAGTGATGGCGAACCTTTTAGAGACCGAGTGCCCAAACTGCAACTCAAAACCCACTTATGCTCGGGTGGGTGTGGCCCACTGGGTGGTTGTGGTCAGTTGGGTGGGTGTGGCCCACTGGGTGGGCGTGGCTGCGGTGGTAACAGCAGACTGGGTGGGACTAAAAAGTTCAATCAATTCCAACTTTGCAAGATTTTTCCTCCCCTCGCAAGAAGTTGAAATTGACCGATTGATTGAATCTTTTTTTTTTCCCCCCACGGCAGCGGAGGCCTAAAGCAAAAAGCTTTTATAAAACCCAGCTGAAGGCCTAGGACTGGGGCGAGGGCGCGCGTGCCCACCGAGAGGGCTCTGAGTGCCGCCTCTGGCACCCGTGCCATAGGTTCGCCACCACTGGCCTAGAGCACCTGTTCACCTGCTCCCTTGGTCTAGGTCTAGGCTGCTGGCGCTCCAGACAGACAGGCTCTTTCCTCCTTCCACTGTGATTCCTGCCAATCAAGCCTGTCTCAGGCTTGTCTCCCAAGCGCTCTGAAGGGAGCCTGTGTCCCTCTTGCACTTGGACTCCCTCTTTGGAGGAAGCAGGTCAGGGGGCAAGGAAGGGAGAATTTCATGAGACCCTTGCATTCGCTCCTCCCCCTCCTCCTCCTCATCTTCCCTCTCCTCCTCCTGAGCCTGTCTTCCTGTGAAAAGGGAGCTTCTCCTTGCGCTGGCACTAGGACCTCCTTTGCAGCCACCAGCCTTCCTCTCATGAGTCAGCCAGGGCCAGTCATGCGATGGCTGTTCTCTCGCAGCCCAAAGTGCTGTATAGGCTTGTCTTGGCCTTCCCCGTGGGGACCTTCCCCCTGGTTTCAAAAGCACTTGCAAGATACTCCTTGCCTACTCTGGGTGCATTTCTCACCGGAGGGCTCAACTCCCTCCCCCCACCCTTCTACCTGCCAGCCAAAGTGCATCCCTCCCTCCTTAGCGCAGCTTCCTTGGGCAGCTACCCTGTTTCCTTTGGGTCCTTCTGGCAGAGCCAAGGTGAGCCCAAGAGGTCTTCCTAGCGAGGCGCTTCTCCTTGCTTAGGTTTCCTTCTGGGGAACTATACTCTTTTTTTCACTTTCCCTTTGCCGGAATGGCAACCTCTCTGCCTTGTGAGCTGCTGATGAATCCCCAGCTGGCTCCTTCCCACCATCTAGATGTTGCCCTCACACCCAGAACTTAATGGTGCGGCTAGAACCTGCGAGAGCCGCTCCAGAGCAACCGTCTCCACTGCTTTTTATCTCTGCTTGCAGCCCTTTCTCTCCTGCCAATCTAGCTCCCGGTTCTAGAACAGTGGCAGGCTCCCCTTTGCTCCCAAGTTTGCCAGTGAAACCCTCTCCAGCAGTTCCCGTCTCCTCTCTTACCCTGTCAGCCTCCTCCAGCGTCGAGGTCCCATTTTGCATCTCGCTTCTTTGCTTTTCTTGCCGCTTTTTATATCCTGTATCCAAGACATATAATGCCACCCTGCAGGTGCCTCTGGCATTTCGCCCTCTTGGCCTACGTGCCTGTGAACGTGCCTTTAAAAGGGAAGTTGTGGCCTTGACCCAGCCCAGCCACTTTTCTTAGAACATAGAATAAAAGATCTGGAAGGGCCCTTCCAATCCGACCCCCTGCTCAAGCAGGAGACCCTATACCATTGCAGACAGATGGCCGTCCAATGTCTAGTTAAAAACCTCCAGTGTTGGAGCATTCACTGCTTCTGGAGGCAGCTTCCACTGGTTGATTGCTCTCACCATTAGGAATTTCTTCAGCTGGGCATTTTAGTGCAGGACACGCTGCTGCTGCTGCTGTCGTGGAATCCTTGGTGACATGACTGTGGACCCTTGTTCCTGGGACATGGATGGGTTGCAACTGGTTCAGAGAAGGCCCCTCGGGATGTGCCCTGTGAGGAGAGGCTGCCAGAGCTGGCACTGTGGAACACGCAGCAGTCCTCGTGGGAAGGATCCGGGTCTTCTGGGGGGCCACGATGAAGCACGAGTCGGCCGTCTGCGGTAGCTGTCAAAGGAGCCAATGCAATCTTGGGTGGCCTCAATGGAGGAACACGGGACAAGAACACCGGAAGTGAGGCAATTGTCGTGCTGCTCTGTGGCTGCACTGCTCGGACTGTATCTGGATGCCGGGTCCCCTTCTGGTTGCCCAAGTGCCACAAGAAGAGCACTGGGCAATGGGAAGTGCAGCAAAGAGGGGAAGGGTGGCTAAATCCCACGGAGAACAACGTAGCAGGCTGTTTTCATGCGCAAGAAGATTGAAGGCACCAGAGGCCGTGCCTGAATGGCCGCCGTGGGGAAGAGCCCCTGGTCTTACTCTGCACCGTGTCCAAGGGGAGGCCAAGAACCAATGGGCTGAAGCTTTCTTTAGTGAGGGAGATCCAAACTCTAAATCAGCAGGAATCGCCTGGCTGTGAGTGCAGTGAAGCTTCTTCTTTCGGAACCATGACACAGTGACCAGCTGGCCTCCTGGAGCTGTGTTCATGCAACAGCTGGGCCGCCATTAGTGCGGCAAGCTCTGGGTGGGGCTCTGGAAGGGAAGCCCCCCCCCCAGCACCCTTTCCAAGGGTTTTGATTCTGTGCTCGCTCTGGGCCACAGAAAGGCGAGGGGGAAACAGGGTAATTGTGTTCAGGGGTATAAAAGAGGCCCGTAGAGAAGAGGGTCAGGAACTCTTGTCCGTGGCTATAGGCAGTGGAGAGGAGCTGCAGTTTCCTAGATTTTGCCGAAATATTAGGAGAAACGAATGGAAGAAGAGATTTGTCTATTGAAACTGTGCATTTTCTATCTTGGGAAGTTTTTAAGGGCAGGCTGGGCAGCCGAATCTCACGAGTGATTTCATCCTTTTCCCTGCATTGCAGAAGTTTGGACAAGATGATCTTCACGATCCCTCCAACCCACAACGTGATAAACTGGTGAAAGGTTGGCATGGTGTGTGAAGACACCCACAAGCCCTTTAAGTCAACTTAGTTAAGCACGTTGAGCAAAAACTACAGCATGTCTAAAAAAGCTACAATTCTCATCCATTTGTTCTATTTAAATTGGAGTAAAAACAAGGGCTGTTTAAAGTGAAGCAAAAGCATAACATTTAAAAACATCTCACAGCTTTTAGACCTTCAACAGAATTAAACCTGCAGCTTGATGGGAAAACAGCAGGATGAAGAACGTCCACAACTATGAGTCCACTTGCCGGGCCAAAGGACAGCCTCCCCTTCTGATGATGCTTCCTGATTTTGCAGACAGTGGAGTGGAGGGGGGGGCAGGGGAGAGGCAAGAGGAAGTTAACCAGGGTTGGGCCTGAGCCAGTTTAGACTTCATCCCAGCATTCAGCCCCAGAGACGAACCGGGAAGAAGACGGCAAGGCTCCTCTTAGCTTCCCTGCCAGCTTGCTGGTTGCCCGGCTCTTCCACTTTCCCCGCCCCGGGGACCTGACTCTGCTTGGCCTTCCCGGCCACCGAGCTGGTCTGAAAAGTGGGCGTGGAGTAACCCTGGAAGGAGAACCAGGTTGTTGATGGGACACTTCTTCTTCCGTAGGGTATTTTGTGCAGGACTCCTTGGACATGATTTGTAATGAGAAGCTTCAGAAATGTTGGGAGCTGCTGTTCCATCACTTTGTGGTGAGTTACTCGTGTTTCTCATGGTAAGAAGACAGGGCTGTCCCGGGCAAGGGGTGAGTTGGCAGGAGCAGCCAAGCTCGGAGGGTGCAGAGGATGCCCAGGGCTGGGTGAACTGGCAGGGAGGCCTCTCCCGGCTCAGGCTGGGCTCCTCCTGGGGGAAGGGAGAACCACAAGTGTGGGACTCAGGGCGGGTGGCCGTGGCAAGGGTGACCCTGTGGGATGAACGCTCGGGGCCTCCGACATCCCCTGGCCCTGACTCGGCCTGCCAGTTGCTGTGGGCACCTCCCTCTTCCAGGGGGTCTGGCCTCACCCCACCGGGCTCCTGTTCTTCGCTGCTTAGGTGTCTGCAGCCAGAGTAACTTGAAGCCTGGTAACATAAATGAAAAGTGCCCAATCACTCAACCTGTTACATTGCAACCCACACAGGCTATGAAAAGGATAACACTATCAGGAATCAAAAACATCTCAGAAACAGTCAACCAACTATTACAATCACACAGCACACAAACCCTCAGGAACATCCTAAAGCCCAAAGACCAAGGGCAGGCAGTCCTTGACTTACAAGCCCAAAGTTTCTGCTGCTAAGTGAGAAAGTTGTTAAGTGAATGTTGCCTCATTTTACAATCTTTCTTGTCACATTAAGCGAATCCCTGCAGGGGTTAAGTTAGCAACACGGTTGTTAAGAGAATCTGGCTTCCCCTCCGCTGATTTTGCTGGTCAGAAAGTGGCAAAAGGGGAGTCGCATCATGCTGCAACCGTCATAAATATGAGTCAGTTGCCAAATGTCTGAATTTTGATCACATAACCGTGGGGATGCCTGAACGGTCGTGTGAAAAATGGTTATAAAGGTTAGCCAAATTCAGACCTGGGGAATTCCCGGAAACAAATCAGCCATCAACAGATAGATAGAAATAAACCATATTTATACCCCGTTCAAAGCTAAGAATGAAACAAAAAGACTGGAAAACATCTCTGTCAACAGCCAAATAAGCAGGATTTAACACCAGACAAACAATCAAGTAGAAAACAATAGCCTAATCAAGGATAAAACCTCCACCAGTACTGGCGGGGCACGCCCCTGTATATAAGCAGAGAGCAAAATCCACCAGCATTGATCATGTTACCTAGTTGGATAATGAAACATCTGCAAGCAAACCACCAAACACAGAGAGCACCAAGGAGCCCACAAATAAATAGTAAGGCATATCCAGAGCCCCCCCAATCTTTCCGCATGAAGATTGGTGCTTTGTCCCTGCTGGGCTGCTTTCAGGGGACCAGCAAGGCTTCGATTAGGGGGCAGGATGGGGGAGCAGATGAGCAGCCTTGCCCACATTCTGACTGGGTCAGGGGAACCAGCTGGAGCTGCCCTGGCTTCGTTTCATACCAGCTGCTCTCCACATTACACAAAGGGAAAGAGGTCCAGCCTCAGTTTCAGCCCAAAGGACTGCTGCAGCCGTGCCCACCCGCTGCCCACTGGCCATCTGACCAGTCAGGCTGGTCTACAGCAAGGATGAAGGAATCTTGCCGAGTTTGCGATAGTTCATGTTGGTTGGGATGCCAATCCTCGGCCTCAGGGCAACAGAGGGGACAGGAAGGCAGAAGGGCCTCTGAGTCTGTGCAGACTGCCTTTGTGGCACCCAGGGAGGGAGCCAGTGTGCCTTTGAAAACCAGCCTCAGTAGGGAGTTGCCATCTCTCTCCTGATCTCTGGATTGCCCACATCAGAATCAAATTTAGCAGAGACCGAGACTGGCTTCCAACTTAAACAGCTAAACTCCTTACAATCCGCCTGAAGCACATCTTGCAGGCGGGGGGGGGGGGGGAGAGGGAGGGAGAGAGACAGGTTTGTTCTACCATTCAAGGAGAGTCCAGTCCTCAGCAACTGACGCTTTGAATTGTCTTGCCTGCCCCCCCCCTCGGTAGCTGCAACTCTCCCCCAGGAACTGACCGGGGGGGGGGAGGGGCTAAGAGGTGGGGAGGCGTAGGGGAACCTTTGTGTGCTTTCCATCAACCCCAGATGTCCAACAAAGGTCATGGCTGAAAAGGTTGTTGGATGTGTGCTTGAGATGCTTCCGCAGTTAAGGCTGAGAACTAATTTTTAAAACTGGCTACTGGAGGGGGGAGGCTGTAGGCACTGGGTCTTGACCTTACCTGTCCTGCCCTCTGTCATGGAGCCAGTTTTCCGAGGTCTGTGGGAGCAGAACTGAAGCCTGGGGGCTGGCCCAGTCCATGGATCAGGAGGCGGGTCAGGCCGTGATGATCCGCCCTGGGGCAGGGGTGGCAGCTGGAGCACCGAGGTTGCTTTTGGCGGTGATGATCAGGAGCAGGAGGAGGGTTCCTATCTGTTGCAGCCGGATTCCAGCCGCTTCTGCCAGGGGGTCCAGGGCAGAGCGCACCCAGGGGAATAGTCAGCTCAGCCTTGCTGTCTTCCAGGTGATCCTTTGCTTCGGCTTTGCCTTCCTGGTTCGTCGCTTCGTGGGTTTCGCCATGGTGGCTCTGCTGGTGGAGATCAACTCCGTCTTCCTGCACCTCCGGAAGATCCTGCAGATGGCTGGCTTGGCCAACACCGCCTCCTTCCGCCTCACCAGCCTGGTCAACCTTGGCACCTACTTGGTGTTTCGTATCCTGATCTTGGCCTGGATGAGCCATTGGCTGGCCCTGAACTGGGAGAACGTCCCAGCAGTGCCCTGTGCCATGGGCATGATGGGCATGGCCATCATGCTGCCCATCAACGTTGTCCTCTTCTACCGTCTGCTACGCAGCGATCTACTCCCGTCTCACAAGAAGTAGCAGTTCCCGGCCAAGCGCCAGGGGAAGGGAGAAGGAGCCGGAGCAAGGCAGACAGCACCCACGCAAGCAGGAGGAAGGGGTTTCCCCAGCTGCTCAGGAGGCGCCCCCCCCCCCGGCTGCCCAGCGATGCAAGTCGGGAGCAGGGCCAGCCTTTCTGGAGAGCCTCGTGGAAGAGTGTCATGGTGCTGTTTGGCGGGAGGGCCGGGAGTGATGGTCTCACAGCAAGGTGTGCTTCGCTTTGCCCTCCCTGAGGTAGGGGCCTTATTGAAATGACTTCGCCCTGTGCATCTGTGTTCTGATGTTTACTTCTGCTACACTTCCCCGTGCAAGGTGAGCCTCCTGAGAACAGGTGCTCTTAGCCCCACCCCTTCCCTTCCACCCCCACCCCGTGGCAATAGCCAGGAAGCTGCTGGGCCGTGGAAGGATATGGCAGAGAGATTGTCTCCCCTTCCCCACCCTGATGCCTACGGCGGACTCTCTGGAGAATAGCACTTCTTAAGGAACCTCCCTGGTTGGGGTTTGATTGCTCTGTAGGTAAATTTCACCAGCTCTGGTACAAAAGAGACTAGAACAGACTTGGGAATCGTGGGAAAGAAAAAGAAGCAAGGATGGATCACTATCGCTGGAGTTTTGCTGGGATTATCACTGTCACACAGCGGTTCACCCTTTCTTCCCTCCCAAGAGTTACGAACAGGTCCTGCAGTTGAGCCGAGGAAGGCAGCATTCCAAGGCTATTCAGGCATGTTTGCTGCTGTCAGCAACAGAGCCGAGGCCCGTTTCTGGGACTGTCACCCTGATGCCACCTGCCAGTGCCTTTAGCCCACTAAGTGCCAAGTAATTGTCTCTAAACTGGGATTACAAAGCAGTTATGTGATTTTTTATGTGTGTAACAAGATGTTACAAGATGTGTGTGCACACAATAATAAAGAAACTTTAGCAAATGCTAATTGTTTGGCCCTGCTTGGCAGGCAGGCAGAGCCTCTGCGGTTTGGTTTACGGAGGGGAAGTTTTTGATCCCGAAAGGCAGCAGCCTGAAGGCAAAGCGGCTGCCCAGGGTGGAAACAGCCCCCTCCGTCCCTATGAAGAGAAATGGGGATACGCAAGGATGATGCAACTCCCAAAGGAGAGGAGGCCATAGAGGTACCCAGATGCATCCTCACTACACTCTGCAGGGAGAAAACCGAACCTCCCCCATCCACGCAGTGGCCAGACCCTGCACTCATTCAGGCAGATGGGGCTGCGCCTGCAAGCAACCCTCCAGCGCAGGAGCATAGGGTTCGACCACTGACGTCCAGGGAGGGTCTCTCTCCTCTGGGTCACAGAGGTCCCCAGGGCGCTTTTCCAAAAGGCAGCTGGACTTTCTCGGCTATTCCTTGAAGACGTTTCGCTTCTCATCCAAGGAGCTTCTTCAGCGCTGACTGGGACGGTGGAGAACGGAACCGAAGAAGAACCGAGGAAGCTCCTTGGATGGGAAGCGAAAAAACGTCTTCAAGGAATAGTCTAGGAAGTCCAGCTGCCTTTTGGAAAAAGCGCCTTCAGGGCAACTGAGCCTTCGCCTCCCTTTACGGGAACCGCCAGGACCGGGGCTGCTCTTCTGGCCGACGGACGGGAAGGGCCTCCGCCTCTCTGGGTCCGGTGTCTCCGGCGGAGGTTCCCCGACCCAGAGACGGGCCGCCCAGCAAAGGCCGGCGGGGTGGCGAGGCGTTTCAGCCTCGGCAGCGGCGCTTCCCTCCGGGCCTCGAGCGATGCGCCTCCTCCCTCCGGGTCGAGCCGGCTACCGTGTCGCTTCCCCCGCGCGGTGTGCGGATCCGGGAGGCGGGGAGGGAACCCCGGTACTCGGTCGCCGCTCGAGGGAGTCCGGCCCCGGGGCGGGGTGTCCCTCCAGGAGAGCCCAGGGCCTGCTCGGGACGAGGCCGCCGGGCCACCACGAGGAGCCTCGTCAACCCCGCGGACGGTCCCGCGCGGGGAGCCCAGGGCCCGGAAAGGGGGGGCGGAGCGAGGGGGGAGGCTAACGGGCCCGCGAACCAACACTTCCCCCCCCCCGCAGCCGACACCGGAAGGGCTCCGATCGTTTCCGAGGCAAACGGAGAAAAACCGTCCTTCGGAGCCGGCGCTGATTGGTCAGAGGCAGTCCTGGACCTGCCTCCACATCCGGTTCCGGAGCCCTGCGCCTGCGCACTCTCGGCTGGGATCGTGCACAGCGGTGCTTGCCGCCGCCATTAACGGAGTTCGAGCGCGGAGAAGCGAAGGGAGTCCCTGGTCGGAGCCGGCGGGGCTGCGGGGCCCGGAGCCCTCGCGAGGGGAAGGCAGGTGCGGGGAGTCCCTTCCCGTCCCCCGCCCGCCCTGCGCCCCCTCCGGGCCAGGCTCGGCCTGTCATTCGTCCGCGCTGCCGGGGGGGGTGTCTCGGAGTCCTCGGGCCCGCAGGATGGAAGGGCGGCCGAGGCTCCCCCCACCGCCCTTCCTCCCCTCCTCTCTCCCCCCCGATAGTGCCCCTCCCCGCGACCCCCCCGGGGCGAGAGAGGGAGGCGTCGCTGCACTTTCGGCCCCCCGCAGGGACGGGGGGCGGGTTTGCGCCCTCCCCCTCCCCTCCCTCCCAGCTGGCTCGGGGGAAACGGGGGGGGACGGGGGTCGTCCTGAGCTGAAGTGGGACGAGGAGGCGGCGGGCTGTGAAGAAGCTCCGTGGGTGAAGCTCCGCTGGGCTGCAGGGTGACGGGTGGCCATTTTTCTTCACAATTATTCCACACTTTCATAGAATGTCGTTCATCCCCCTGCAGATGTTTTGTAGGTGAAGCCCCCGAGATGCCGCGTCTTCCCCGCAATTCTGCATGAGTTGCTTGCGCCTCCCAAGTTGCCTTAGGAGGGCAGGAAGGCGGATTGTGGAGACATGGCACTCTCGGAGAAACGGGCCCGCCTGCGCTTCTCCTCCCCGTCAGAGATGGTCTCTGCTCCCTTTCCCCAGGTTGCGTTCCTCACCATGGCGGGAGTGTTCCCTTTCCGGGGGCCTTGCCCCCCCCTGCCTACGCCCTTGACGCCGTTGCCTGACTACATGTCGGAGGAGAAATTGCAGGAGAAAGGTAACGGTTGTGGGACGCGTGTGCCTCCGACGGGAAGAGGCTTCGTCACTCGAGGTTTTTAAGAAGAGACTGGATAGCCGCTTGTCTGGAATGGTCTAGCGCAGGGATAGACAACCTTGGCTCTTTTATGACTCGTGGACCAACTCCCAGAAGTCCACCAGTCATAAAAGAGTCAAAGTTGCCTACCCCTGGTCTAGTGTCTCCTGCTCGATCAGTGGGTTGGACTAGTAGACCTCCAAGGTCCCTTCCAGCTCTGCTCCGATTCTGCTCCCACATTGGAGGTTGGGTGGGAGGGAATATCAGGGATGAATGAAGAGACTTTCACGCCGGGCTTTTTTTTTTTTTCTCCTTTCAGCCCGCAAATGGCAACAGCTGCAGGCAAAGCGCTATGCCGAGAAGAGGAAGTTTGGCTTTGTGGACGCCCAGAAGGAGGACATGCCACCTGAGCACGTGAGGAAGATCATCCGTGACCATGGAGATATGACCAATAGGAAATTCCGTCACGACAAGCGAGTGTATCTGGGGTGAGCCTTGGGGAAGATGCCACGGCCTGCTTGGACTGGGAGGTTGGGTAATTGCAGAAGCTCCTTTTCCACCAAGAAAGAGCCAGGCGGGAGGCTTGGCTGAGTTGTGCGCATATCTTCTCCATCACCTACGTTTTCATTGAGGAGATCTCTGGGTGGAGAGCGTGGGAGGCTCGCCTCTGCTTGATGCTGCCCACTAGATGTCTGAGGGGTCAGAGGTCGAGTGCTGTGGTTCAGCTTTAGTAGAAAAAAGATGCACTGCAGTTCCCGCATTGGGCATTTTGCTGATCTGGATGTGGCCTTGGCAGTGCCGGAGGAGGGAGAGAGAGGGCGTGCTAGTCGCACCGTATCAGATTCTTTTCGGGTTGTGAGCCTGAGGGGGGCTTACAGAGGGTTCCCTCGGAGCCCAGGAATCTCCTGCGGCAATGGCCAGCAGTACTTTTTCTTGACCTCTTCAGACAGGGCATCGTGATGGATGTCGGCCTTTGAGGTAGGCCAGGAAGCGGAAGCTGCAGAGACTCTAGGAGGGTGCTGTATTATTGTAGGCTACAATAACAGAACCTTGGAAGCCAGCCAGAGTTCCCTATGCCCCATCTTACCCCAAACAAGGTTGAGACAGCTTTTTTTCTCACACTTTTCCAGGACGGAGTTGTCTTTTACCATAACAGTTTCTTGCCCTCTTCCCACTTTCCGAGGCCAAATCTACATTCTGTCCCACCAGGCTAGACTGAAGGGGATTTGTAGGTCCTGGGGCTGGTTTCTTGCAGTGAAATTCCTGCATGTTTTGAGAATTGCACTCCGGTAGCTGAGCAGACTTTTCTGCCAGTCCTTCCCTGCATTGTAATGGCTGTGCTGGCCATCCAGAATCCAGCAGGGGCTAGTCTAACGCTAGGGTGGGTGTCACATGCTTCTCCCCTTTCCCTCTCCCTCCCAGGGCCCTGAAGTACATGCCTCACGCAGTTCTGAAGCTCCTGGAGAACATGCCGATGCCCTGGGAGCAGATCCGTGACGTGCCTGTCCTCTACCATATCACTGGTGCCATTTCCTTCGTGAACGAGATCCCTTGGGTGATCGAGCCGGTGTACATCGCCCAGTGGGGGTAAGGGAGTCTCCCCAGCTGGCACTTGGGGGGCAGAGGAGGTCCAGGATTGGCCCCGTACAGCGGCTGATTCTTGGAACTGGATGTATCCCAAGGTCCATGTGGATCATGATGCGACGGGAGAAGAGGGACCGGCGGCATTTCAAGCGGATGCGCTTCCCGCCCTTTGATGATGAAGAGCCCCCCCTCGACTATGCAGACAACATCCTGGACGTGGAGCCCCTGGAGGCCATCCAGCTGGAGCTGGACACGGAGGAAGACGCTCCCGTCTTGGACTGGTTCTATGACCACCAGCCCCTGAAGGACAGCCGCAAGTGCGTACCCCTACGTGTTCCCTTCCGGGGTGGGGGAGGAGTAAGAAATGGTGCCAAGTATCCCCCCCCCCACATGCCTGGCCAGAGAACTGATGGGGTTCCGGCTCCTGGACCTGAGGTGGGCAGGGCTTGAGGAGAGAGGCCATCTTCGGTCTCTGCGGTTAATGCTCTGACCTCGTGGAGGGTCCAGAAGACCTGCAGGAGTAACCCTCCCCTCCCCGGGGCCCTCGGTTCTCCCCTGTGGAATAGAGGCTTTGCAGGGAAGGGCAGTTGCCAAAGGCAGCCCCCGCTTCACCCCCAGGGATCTCACGGCCTCTTCTGGGCTGCAGGTACGTCAACGGCTCCACCTACCAGCGATGGCAGTTCACCCTCCCCATGATGTCCACCCTCTACCGCCTGGCCAACCAGCTCCTCACGGACCTCGTGGACGACAACTACTTTTACCTCTTTGACCTGAAGGCCTTTTTCACCTCCAAGGCCCTCAACATGGCCATCCCAGGGGGGCCCAAGTTTGAGCCCCTGGTTCGAGACATCAACCTGCAGTGAGCGGCAGAGATTTTGCCTTGGGGGCGTTGGGGGGAATGCATGGTGGTGGTGGGGGGTGTCTATGGGTGGGGCTCACTTGCGGAACCTCTCTGTGTGACTGTCAGAATGGGCGTGGTCAGCTGGGTTTATTGGCTTGGGAAAAAAGCCTGAAGGCTTCGGGGTTGTGTGTGTGTGTGTGTGTGTGAGAGAGAGAGACAGAGAATGTGGATCCCTTGACCTCTGCTGGGATGGGGGGGGCAGCCTGGGAGCCTCTCCGAGCAGCCCTCCCCCTGAACACAGCTCTTCCTCTTCTGGCTTCAAAGGGACGAAGACTGGAATGAGTTCAACGACATCAACAAGATCATCATCCGGCAGCCGATCCGGACGGAGTACAAGATCGCCTTCCCCTACCTCTACAACAACCTTCCCCATCACGTCCACCTCACCTGGTGAGGGAGGGGGCGGAGGGCAGGGAGAGGCGGGCTAAGAGGCTGGATGCTGCGCCCCACCAAGGGGGCCGGGCCCAGAGGCTCAGCTGGCGTTCAGCCCAGTCCGGGCTCTTTGTCCCAACGGCACCTCGTCCTCTGCAGGTATCACACCCCCAATGTGGTCTTCATCAAAACCGAGGACCCAGACCTGCCAGCTTTCTACTTCGACCCTCTCATCAACCCCATTTCACACAGACACTCGGTTAAGGTGAGGCCCTTTGGGGTTTTCTGTTCCTGCCCGGAGGGAGCCCAGAGGGTCTTCCGGGTAGAAACGAAAATACAACATACCCTAAAAGCAGCAGTTTCAGCGATATAAGAGCCACCCTGGGGGACCAAAACAAATGAATAATGGGTGGAAATT